TCACATTGCACTCATGTGGAAATAAGCCTGTTTACCACCAGCGGGTCACACATGCTAATGAGCGTCTGTTTGTTTTCCACTGTGCTCACACAGGAGGAAGGGAATTTAGGGGGAAATAATAGATGATATGCAGACAACAACCCAGGTGGCCCTGCAGCACTAATGATGAAAAATGTACCACACAGACATATTGAAAATAGAGGCATAGTTTATACATTTGCTCAAATATTATATGAGGAAATATTACATATATTTGAGCAAATATATATGTCTAGGTGTTAAGGGTCATTGTCCTGTTAGAAGGTGAACCTCAAACTCAGTCTCAACTCTTTTGTAGCGTCATACAAGTTTTCTTTTAGCTGCATCCATCTTGATGTGTAGCAGTAGTTTTCCACAGCTTTTTACACACTTGGTCTTATGGTTTTCATTAATTCCCTCACTTCTTGGTGATGTTTACCCAGTTTTTAGATCCTGTTTACTAAATAGTTAAAGTTTGAATGGATTGATTTTTATATAGAAGTGAAGAAGGTGCTGAAGCATGCTGGGATATCTTCTTCCAACATGTTTTGAACCTCTTAACGCCACAACCAGGAGATATTATTGTAACCCTTTATTTGTGTCATTTTTTGGCTGAACTAAATCAGTTTAAGATGTGTAATAAGTTGATATCTATAGTGAAATGAGTATTGAGCTGGCCTAAGTTAGGAACGTCAATGTCCTGGATGACTGAGAATCTACATCAGCATGCTTCCCATGTGATCACAAGCTGAATCCTCACTGCTGCCACATTGCATAATTTTCCAGTCTTTGTGACTAATGTACCATCAACTGAGGCTCCATGCATTCCTTTGTCAATAAAACAGAGATATCACAGAATCATTTTATTTAATCTATAATGGCACTGCCTCAATTGGAAATGGATGGATATCTGTGGATTTGGACGGATGGATGGATGGATGGATGGATGGATGGATGGATGGATGGATGGATGGATGGATGGATGGATGGATGGATGGATGACATCCATAAATATGTTTTGTGCCATTGAAAAATTACTAGTTCACATATTTGAGGAGGACCTTAATTACCTTCATGGTTGTGCTTTATGACCATTTGTAAACTACTGTGTCCTCAGCCTTAGGTTTCCAACACTGTCTAGGAAAAGTCTGGAATTTTAATGAAATATTTTTATAGTCTGGAGCAGAAAAAAGGAAAGTAGAATTTAGTAAACCTATGGGATTTCAAAAACTTTAGTTTGTATTCCACTGTTCAAAAGTTCCACCCATCCACCCATTTGGACATTTCAGTTTAATCATTTGCTATAAAATATCTCAACAAAAGTCAGTCGATGCTGATTTGGGATGTCATTGTTTGGAGTTTCCAAAGCAGTGAAGCATTCAAAAATGTACAAAGGATGCAGTAATTACATGAATCCTCAGTTGATGGTGCATTAGTCACAAAGACTGCAAAATTATATAATGTGGAAGCAGAGAGGTCTCAACTTGAAAGACAAACTCCAAGGATTTTCTGGTTTTATTCATTTTTATTTGAACAGATTATGAGAACATCCCTGTAAAGAAATCAAAATGGTCACGTAATTTATGTTGACAATTGTCACAATAAGTTTTGCTAGATGATGAATTGTCAGAGAAGTTATTGCTATAGATGGTAAAGAGACCTTTTCCAACTAAAATGGCCTCATTTTAGTTAATGGCTATAGCATAATAATGCAAGAACACATTCTCAAAGAGCAATACATTTTAAAAACCCAACTGAGAAGAAAGCAGCTGATGAATGGAGGACCAAAGGGAAAAAGTCCTCTTCATTCACAAACTTTAAATTCTAATGAACATTTAACACTGGAACTGTAAGACATTTAAAATATCCTAAATTAATAAACTACAAAATAAAAGGAATTATGAAGTCTCTGGTCTCAACTAAACATTTTATTTTTATTTTGTTTACAAAGCACCAGAATAAAGACTATTCATCCAATTTTTGGTAGAAATGGAGAAACAAATCATGCAAATGGGAATAGAAGGACGGGAATGCAACAACAGGACAGGTGCAAGTTCCAAGTCAAACCCTTTAATGACTCAGAATGAAATCACTACTTTTCAAAAACTCACTTTTAAATATTACTTAAACAGCAAAATACCTGCAGCATTCCTTAAGGCAGATTGCTAAGAAAGTTTCAAGTCAAAATGGGGAACAATCAGGAGACGTCACCTGGGAACCCTTCCAGGGTTTCCTCCAGAAAACCTGCTGACCCCGGTGGAAGAGCTGCTAAGGTCATCCATCAGCAGTCTGCTGCGTTTTTGGGTTAAAAAATATCAAGTTACAGGCATCAAAAGTCAGAAATGACAGCGTGTGAAGCCAACGGACAACTGATGAGACGGCACAATTGTTTCACAACTCCTCAGTAAGTTCAGTGCCTCAACTATAAATCTTTAGCTTAATCTATCTTTACTGTCACTGGTGTAGAAAAATCCCTATTTAAAACAACAACCCATATCCCGGTGGGGGTAAAATAAAGCCTGGTGGCCCGCCAGGCTGATAAAACACTGTGAGAAACTTCTGTATATAGCTCTGGCTGTAAAGGGGAACCCTGTCTATATTGGCATGTCTGTACAGGAAGACTCTGTGTTAATTTCTAAGCAATCTTTAGGCTGCTCTTGGTCTTATACCTCACCTAGGACCAGACCCGTCCCAAATAGAGGCATGAAGCCTCTGACAGCTCCTAGGATCACTGGGACACTCAAACACCTTAACCACAATAAGATGACAGCCCACAGAGGGGAAAAAAAAAACAAAGCCAGAAACAGTTAACTGTTATGGAGAGAGGGCAGAAGGTGGCGCTCTGGTGTTTCTAACAAAACAAGAAATTTAGTTAGAAACTAAACTTATTTTCTCAGTTATTTTTCTCACCACTGAAACTACACTTGGTCTGACGTTCTGATTAGATGTGGTTGCTTCCTGGAAAAGGTTGTTGGCTAACATGATGCTGTTAGCCAATAACCATCATCTGTTCATTCTCCCTTTTCTTTTCACTTCCACGAACATAGAACGTTCTCCTGAGCAGTTGACCTGTTGTTGTGTCTCTGCTCTGTCTTCTCACCAATCGGTCATGTCAGATGGCTGCTGGTACTGAGCGCGGTTCTGGTTCTGCTGTTGGTTTGTTCCTGTTAAAGGGGAGTTCTTCCTCTCCACTGTCACAACATGCATGCTCTGCATGAGGGACTGCTATAAAGTCAGCAACTCAACACAAGCGATTTGCTGTCACCCCCTGCTGGTCAGGAGGAGTGAATGACAATGACTCTATATAATCTGCTGGGTTTTATTTGGTACAAACTTTTTAACTACTTTATAATAAACTGAACCTAATGAATAGGTAACATCAATAGGTGATTAATTTATGTAAATATAAGTCAACAGATCTTAATTAAATGTTCAGTTTGGATTTAATTTAAATGTAAATCATGAACTTCTTGTCATTTTGATGTTTTTGAACTAAATAAACTTTATTTATTGATCAGAATCCAGAGCTGTGCAGATCATTAACAATTTCAACTGTGATCTCTACAGAAACAGACACTTGGCCTTCAGTGAAACCACCAGTCAGATGCGCTTTTCTGTCGAAAAATCCTCTCGTTTCAACCATATTTATTATCTTTCAAGTATACGGAGGTAGGACGTATTAATAAGAAATCTGCTGAATAAGATGTATATGACGTAGCATCGATGTGCGCATGCGCATTACCACAAGGTAGGACGGATTAATGGGTAGCACAGAGCATAGACATAATGTAAGAGTAGACCCTGCATTGGCCGCTCCGGCGCAGGAAATACGGCGGCCATCTTGGAGCGGTATACCCTCCTACTTTGCTCAGTCAAATCAGCAGAAGATACCTCAGCACTGAGGGATATTGTTGTTCGGATCTATGGATTATTGATGTGAGGGCTCCACAGACAACATTTCACAAGTAAGATGGCCATATTATTGTGTATATATTGTGATTAGAATATGGCTTTACTGTATTTATGTCCACCGGCGAGATACCAGCTAATATTAGCTACAGTGCTTGGTGTAATACGGGTTCAGCCCCGCTATGAAGGCTAACTGAGATTCCGTAAATCTAAGAAAATAATTATTTTCTAACATTGGCTTAGATTATCTGACACAAGGGCCTATATTAGAAATTAAACAGTATAACACATGTTATAAAACTTATATTATGTGTTATAACATTCACCGGCAAAGTTTAAAGTTTACACAGGTGGTAAAGACTATTATTTATATTCTTTCACTCTGTCAAAAGTAAGATACATCCTAAATCTTCCGTTTTTGTTTTGAAAGTTTCCTAAAGACACGATGTGAGGAAGAAGAGGGAGAAATCTATAAAGAGAGACGGATTCACGGATGAATCTCTCATCGGATTTTGGACAATATGTATTGATATTACTAAATAATTTATTAAATAAATTATGAACGGCTGTGTGCTTTGTAATATGCTCTTCATACATCGATATCAGAATATTCCATTCCTATTCTATTGTTATAGCCACTAAGCTTATTTAAATATGAACTATGTATTAAAAACATACTTAAAAATACAATTGTTTATAAATGTTGCTTTGATAGATATTTGAATATGGTTTACAGAAACAAAAAGTGTGTTATGATCGATTAAATGCGCTGATACGTCATTGTGCCTGCTAAACACATAACGCTGAGTGGAGTGGTGTACCGCTCCAAGATGGCCGCCCTAAATCTTGTCAACGACAATAGGTGAGAGCGGTCCATGAAGCGTCTATCCTTATATTATGTCTATGGTTACAACACCGGAACAAAAAAATTCTGGCGAAGATCGACTGATGCAGCCGGATGTGAGCTAAAGTTACATTTCCGGCCTACGGAAGACCATTTAGCACACAAGCTAACATCTGACAGAAATACAAAATTTTTTGGCACTAGTATTTGGTGACGCCAAATAACAAACATGATAAAAGCTATATTGATTTTTAACAACCATGGGAAGCCGCGGCTGATTCGATTCTATCAATATTTTGTGAGTATTTTTAGATGTTGCTGTTTCAGTTAATTAGCATTTTCCGGCTGTGCTAACCAATGTTAGCTTGTGTATATGTTGAATAACATAGTCTGTTTTAATATTTCAACGAGTTTTATGCGATTTTTCTCTGACAGATCATCACATTTTTGTTCACAATATTTAATTTTCTCTCGTGAACCATATGCTAGTCAACAATTTCACAACAGCCCTATGAACATTATGACTTTGTTGCTGGAATGATCTATTAATTTCTATTCGGGGCCAAAATTTGACCCTTATTCAAAATATATATATTTTTAAATTATTTTATTATTTTTTATTTTTTACACAACATAGTGTATTTATGTAACTAAAACTCATCTTGAAAATAAAGCGCTATTACGTTATCGCACTACTTTCGTATATTGTTTGCGGACTGTATTGTTTTTAAGTTTGAGTTTTCTTCCGATGTTGACTTGCATCTCACGAAAACCCAAACACTAAGTCCTCATAAAATAAGGACATTACTTAAAACCAATAGAAAGGATTACTTATAAAGGAACGTTCTGCTATGGCCTGAGCAGGCTGTGACTGTGACAGGTGTTTATCAGACACACAATGACAACATCTGCACAAGGGCTAAGCTGCAAAACAATCTGGTAGTTTAGAGTTGTTTCAGTCATATGTCTTGTGGATAAAGGGGGATGTTTAGTGGAGGGAAAAAGGTTGCGAAACAAAGCTCACAAAAAGTTTTAGGGAAGTTCTTGATCTGATTCATTATTGAATTTATGTTCATCTGATTCATTCTTGAGTCAGACAGACATACATTTGGAGATCAAGGTGCTGGTTCCTGAAGTAAGAGTGGAGATGTATAGAATCCAATCTTCTTGAGGTCCAGTGCAAAATTTCAACAAACAGTAATGTTTTGGGGAGACACACTCTCTAATAGTGTTGGTTTTATATATATATATATATATATATATATATATATATATATATATATATATATATATATATATATACATATATAATTATTTGAATGCAGTATCTCCGAGGCTTACAAAAAACAACTAATTGTTAAATGTATTTGTATATGGGATTTTCTGACTTTGAGGCTTTTTAAAATGAGTTTTTAACAACATACATGGAGAAGAAAACAACAGAAGGCATATTCAGCCTCCAGTAGCCAAAGGGTTGATCTTCAGTGCTACCAAAACATGCCCCTGAAGATGCATCCCACTTTAGTTGATCATCTGTTGTATAAAACCTGTCACCTGGATTAAGTGGAAAAAGTTATAGGAAAACAAATTACCCCCAGAATTTATAAAGCAGAGAGAAGCTAAACAAGTGCCTGGAGCAATCTGTAAAACACATTAGAAGTACCTCCATTTTGTAGATCTCTGTTTTGTAGATCTCCTAAATCTTGCTGGAATTTATGGAATGATAAAAACCGTGCCTTTTCAGTAAAACAAATGAAAAATTCAAAAGACATTTCTGAAATTGTTTAATACTTTCTCTGTACACTATTTTCTTGCAGTCAGAGGACATGCAGCAGCAGATAATTCGAGAGACTTTCCACTTGGTATCAAAGAGAGACGACAATGTTTGTAACTTCTTGGAGGGTGGAAGGCAAGTTATTTTTCTCTTATGTTCTGTTTTTATACTGAAGAACAAACTCTGTTATGTGTTGTTTTTAAGTTACTGTTTCTGTAAGGTCCTTAGCCACGTTGAAATATTTCCTTTAGTTTTACTCAACAGACGGTCGTCACTTGATGTCTTGTAATAGCTTTTGTAAAACAGAAGATGGCAGCAAAATATAAAGTTTTCTCTTCTTCCCTTTTCTCAAAAATACGTTTATTTGTTTAGCAAAGTAGACCTTTCATCTCAGTTATTTATGATTCTCTGCTGCTGTAAAAGAAATGCTTGTTCTGCATTTTTTAAAGCCTTTTTTCTTTCAAATCTGCTTTCAGTCTTATTGGAGGCTCAGATTACAAGTTGATTTACCGGCACTATGCTACCCTCTACTTTGTCTTCTGTGTGGATTCATCTGAGAGTGAGCTTGGCATTTTGGACTTGATCCAGGTCAGCTGCTGTTTTTTATTGTGACTCTTTGAGAGTAACTTATGTTTCACTAAAAGGAACTATAAAACCCTTGAATATTTTATCTCAAAAAGGTTTTATCACAACAGATTTAAATGTTTTGTGCTACACAATCTGCTTGTTGTTGGTAAGATTCTGGAAACATAACTTATTATTGGACCATGACCTCATCCCTAGATACTTTTGAATTAAAATCAGAAAGGATTTGATTCTTCTGTCAGGATATTTACCTGTACAGAACAGAAAACTGATCCAATAAAAGTCCACACAGAATCAAAATACAAATATCTCAAAATAATTATCTGTTGTTTTACATTTATTTTAGGTGTTTGTGGAAACGTTGGATAAATGCTTTGAAAATGTTTGTGAATTGGACCTAATATTCCACATGGATAAGGTGAGTGGAGGTGCTTCTGTGACTGAAATATATTTATCTTAATTTCTTTTCATTTCCAATCATAAATGCAATAATGTTTGAACTTGTTTTTGTGTGGCACAATTTTCCTGCTTACCGATGTTTATTTAGCACGATACTACAATGTGTAAGATTGAGTTGGAGCCCTTTTACTTTTTTTCTTGTTACGGCTTAAAAGTGTGTAGAAGAACAAACAGTATTATAACACTAGATTTCTCTTGTAGGTAGTTGGGCTTACGTTTCACTGCTCGGGAAATTTTCTCCATATGAATATTTAACTAAAGGTGGACACGTGTTTAAAATCCAGATTGGAGAGTTTTACCTTGAATATATCCTGGTAAACACTGAATCAGCATCCGATCACGTCTGGTAGTTTCTGAACTTCCGATGGTTTCATTCTAGTGAACTTGAAAGCCTCTGGGGGATTTCTTCTGTCACGACACAAACATTCACATGAACCCAGATGAACTCTTTATTTAAGTGATGTAGGTATCTGAGCTTCCGTTTTTCCTTCTTTAAGAAATCCTTTCTTTCAAATGTCTCTAAACCGTCTTTAAGGAAGCTGCCATCTCACAGACATACCTGTGCTTTTCAGCTGGTTTATAGACTTTTATTGATTTTAATTATTAGACAGTAAATCACTTCTATTGTGTACACAAAAACTTGTTTAATTTTATAAAGCTATTCCTTAGAAGGCAGATCTGAGTTATTAAGGTTACAGACCTACTTACATGAAGAAGTGATCAAACACATCTACAGGCATCTTGACTGAATTTTCCCACAAGAATCTGTTGTCATGTGGAGCAGCTAGGTTTGGCCTGAGGAATGTTACCAGCATGCTAATATTCCCCAGCTCTTCACCATCTGCTGGCAGACAGCCTGGATGGCATGTTTACAAATCATTTATTGTTGCATGCCAAGTTCTGGCAATGCAGACACATTTTTGGGTCTTTGAAATGTATTAGAATGTAAGGAAGAAGACCGTTTTTGTAAATCCATGAAATGGTTTGACTCTGCAGGAATTTACATACCTATATATTAGAGGGAAGCAGAGCTGTGGGGGGGGAGGTGGGGAGACCTTACTAAGTGTGTTGTGCTTTTTCTGCAGGTTCATTATATCCTGCAGGAGGTGGTGATGGGAGGCATGGTGCTAGAGACCAACATGAATGAGATCGTAGCACAAGTAGAGGTGCAGAACCGCATGGAAAAGTCAGAGGTCAGGACTTCTCTGTTTTTATTTAAAGTGATCTTTACATATACCCCCCGTCCCATAACTCTGACTGAGATTCAGCAATTATTTTATCTAATTTGAATGGGCAAAATGTTCTTATTTGCTAAACTGGTAGATAAACTGGTGATTCATGTTTTAAAAGGAACAATTGATGTATAATGGCAATAATAGCTATTTTTAAATACATTTACAGTCTTTCATTAGGTCTTAGTAAGGTTTCTATAAAATCTAACAATTCCCACAGAATCAGTATGACCATCGAAAGCTGACACTGTTTCATCTGTAAGGCACATTCTCTTTCAGGTCACATGTCAAACTTATCTTATCAGCTCACCGTTGTAAATGCAGCACTTGTTGTCAGGTGGAAATAAAATGGAGAGGTTATGTTATTCCAACCTGACCTGAGAGTGTGAGATACTCCTGTGCGCTCAAACTGAGCTGACCACTCCCAAAGATATTTTCAGACTTGTCGTCAGAAAACTTTGAGATAAAAGTTGGGTTTTATCTCAGGTTTTATTAAGGGAGGAAAAATATGCTTGGCCTTGAAATATCCAATTAGCAAAATGGATATTTTACTTGGTCTAAAGTTTAAGATTTCTTTTTTTTTTTTTTAGCTGCTTTGACTTATTATTTCTCTCTTTATATATTCTCAGTCGGTTGTTCAAATCCTGGGATTTTGTTTTATAACTTAACCCTGCTGTAAACCTCTCCACTACCTTATCCCTGACCTCTCTGCTGTGCTCCGTAGCCGTCACAATGCTGTTTGTTCTCTAGCAAACCCCTCAAAGGCCTACAAAGAACAGCTGTATTTATACAGAGAATAAATTACAAACATAGGCACATAGTTGGCTTCTGAAGGCAATTTGTTGCTCTGGATATTATTTAGGGGTTTTAGAGTAAAATGGAACCTGATAACTGCAAATTCCTATTAAGAACAGCAAAGTTTGTGGTTGAACAAAATATTGGAAAGCTTAAGGTGCGTGAAGACGTCCAGGCACCATAGCAGAACATCCCTTTTTTAGCTGCTTTTAAGTTTTTCTCCGCAACCTTTGTTTTCTGCTTTCAAAAGAAAGCATGTGAGAATATTTTCAAGGACATTTGTTCCTGTATAAATGTGGCAAGACAAACTCTTTTATGGTAAGAAGACATAAACTTGTTTGGCTTGTTGCTTTTCACGTGCAGGGAGGTCTGTCCGCAGCTCCAGCTCGTGCCGTCTCCGCCGTGAAGAACATGAACCTGCCGGAGATCCCCCGGAACATCAACATCGGAGACATCAACATCAAAGTGCCGAGCCTCTCCCCTTTCTGAAGAGCAATCCAGCCAAACTTTGCAGGGCCAGAGAACGGGACTACTGATGCAGCCCGACAGCAACACCCAGCTCTGCAACTAATGTAGACAACACTGGTTTTTATTCGGATAATGAAGAACCACAGCAGCTTGCTTTTTCTGTTCATCCCAGTTTTGCTATGTGTATATAAGAGGAATTCTGAACTCAGTTTAATCCTGCATTTGCAGATTAACTCAATTAAAAAAAAAATTGCACAACACTTGAGAAGTTCTACAAAGCATCTGTATCTTTGAGTCTTAATTTCTGCAGTGAGCTACTTAATCTTTTCAAATTAAATACAGCTTCTCTTTGCTCAATGGGACTTTTCAGCACCTCCAAGCTTCAGCTGTTTATTAGCAGGAATTTGAACCAAGCTAAAGAAAAATCATTACTCTTTTTTCCTGAGTTTTACTGGACCTCATCCAGTCCATGTGAAAAATTATACTTTGACTTCTGTGCTTGTCTATAATAATTAAAAAAAAAAAAAAACTCTTGGTTTTTGCGGGGAGATCAGTTTCCCCTCTATAATTTATTACGTCTTTGGCATCCTCATAATTTTTGATGAATGTTGCTCCTGGGAGCGGATTGCGTCCGGCTCTGGAGATGTAAATGCTGCTTGGTTCCAGCCAACCTTCAGTGTGACGTCAGAAGGTCTTGACAACATCTGTTAGGGAGACAGAAGACATTTTTTTTTCCCCCTCCGATAGTTTGTATCTCTGTAAATGTTTTTGTGTGTGATTTGTTGAATTCAGCTGTCGGAAATCGTTACGCTCTGTTGGTAGAGTTTTACTATGAGATGAAGTGATCTGTAACGGAAAGTAGGCATGTCATGGTGTCAAAGACATTCCTTTGCCAAGGTAAATTAATTAAACTAATAACTGTTTGATCATTTGAGTCATTCTCCTCTCTTTTAAGTTTGCAGAACATTTTCTCCTTTTTTGCTCGAACATGTTGAGCTTGTAGTATTGCTGAGGCTGCAGTTCTGCAGTTTTCCACCACATTCTTTCTCTCCCCTGGTCCAATAATAAAGAGTTTTTTTTTTTTTTTGTTAAATCTGAGAAGGTTGTACCCTCCCTACGTTCCCAGGAAGACCTGTGCTAGCTCCCACCGCCAGGCGCACAGATGCTGACCACAAGTCTCTCATCAGCCAAGGATCAGGATCACTCCAGCTGAACCTCCACATCTCATCAGGCTCAAAGCAGGACATAAAGAGACAACATCAAGTGGTATGTACTAAATTCTCCTTGCAGGTCGCTGTAAATCTGCCCACATGCTGCACTAGAGGAAAGGTTTTCTAGCTGTGTTAAAGGTGGAGGTTTCTCAGGGCTGGAGACGGAGAAGCAAAAAAAAAAAAAAAGGCTGTTGCTCAACTTTTTACGAGTAGTGCATGAATACATCATACATTTTCCATTATTGAAGCACTTCAATAATATAGTCAGTTGCTTTTTCTACCTTCTAAAATAATCTTGGATGAATTTGGCCAAATAGAAAAGCAAACCAGCTTTGTCTTGAGTTCAAATTGAGACAATCCTTTCATATTTGTGGTGAAGAGCGATACCTGGTGGTTTGATCTTTCTTTTGTTAAAAGTTTGACTTTGTGGTTATGCTGCATGTCTCCTGTTTAAGGAGCCAGCTTCTGGTTGTAAATCCTGCAGCTCCAGCAGATGCTAGTCACTTCTACATTTAGATTCTGTAGGGAAACACTTAGGAGATGATAATGAGGTGAATGCAAAACACTGCCTACTTTTCCTTGATGTTACTGGTCCTTTCACTTGTAAAAATAAGTTTTTATTTATTTTACTGAAACAGATTCACATGACTCCTTATGATAGCCGTGTGTCTGTTCACAGTACATGTAACCGTGTCACGGGTGGACACACGACTCTATTGTTGTAAATTTTTTACGCTGTGAAAATATGTGACTTTGGGCCCCCAAGAAAAACATTCCCCCTCGACAGGATTATCCTGCTCTCTGTTGGCAAGGTAGACAGTCAGTGGCCCGTTTAGCTGATATTTGATATTAACTTGGTGCTGAAGGACACGGTGGGAACGCTGGAGGAAAAACATGCAACACACTGCAAATTAGTTGGATTAGTTTGTAATTAGTTATTACAAATCTATAGTAGTTTTTTTTTTTCTGTGAAAACCTCTAAGGTCGTGTTTCATGTAATCGTCATGTGTTAAAAAAAAGTGTGTAAACGAACCTTATTGTTTATTTCCACACAGGCAAATTCCATTCCAAACCAAAATGTTTCGAAAAATATACAAAACTTCTTATCACTACCAAAAGTGAGAGAAAAATAAATATTGGTCTGTTCAGAACATTAGCAGTTTTTTCACATTCCTGTGAAAAACTCAAACATTTACTATAGAAACAGAAAAAAATGGCATTCCTGTGAATCACAGAGCTAACACTTAGTTCTCTAAATAGTGAGAACTGTTTCACATTTCTGCTGTATGGAGTTGACCAACTTCTATCACGTGAGAATCAGCCCAGAACATTTCTAAAAAAAAAAAAATGATGTCGTAGTTCTTGTGAAGCACTTTAGTCAGCTGACGTTGCTGTAAATGCACAATATAAATGAACTTTGACTTGACTTGACATGAAATTCCATAGTTCATCTGCATTTCTTTGTTTTGTTTCAGAAATGACGTTAAACTCGCCATTTCTAGCATTCTTAAATTGTAGCTAAGGATTTGCCACGTGGAAATATAATAATTATGTAAAACTGAGACTGATCTGGTTGAACACATCAGCCTCAGTTTTTTTAGTGTTAAAACATTTATTAAAAATGATGTGGATTGTATTAACAAACACACAACAAATTAAATAAAGTTCTACATGTTGCATGTTTGAAAACCAAGAAAAGCGTTTTTCAGCAGATTGTTGTGTTGCTTTTTACTCTAAGCGCTGTTTGCCAACTCTAGACTAATAGCTGTATTTTTGATAGATGGCCAACGTAATTACAGTCTGGGTTGTTTTTATAGGAACCTAAATCAAGTTGTGACTTGGCACAAAATTGATGGACAGAGATGCACCCTCTAACTCTATACAGGGCACATTTAGGGTTATGAGATTACATAACCCTAAATGATTACATTAGTGAAATACACTGCCTTGCAAAAATATTCCTTCCTCTTAAAACGTTTTGTCTCGTTTCACCCAAAGACATCAATGTATTTTATTGGAATTTTATGCAATAAATCAGCACAAATGAGAAAAAAAAAACAAAAAAAAAAAACATGTGAATTGAGGAGCTAATTATAAACAGTTTTGAGATTCCAGAGTTTCTTTTGAGAGTGTTCACAAAGACTTACTTTGACGTTTGTCTAACCTGATGATAATGGCAAGCAGATGGGAATAATTTAGCAGTGCACTAACGATCAATTCCCTTTGTGTCAAAGTGTTTATGATTAAGTGTCATTCTCCTTGAACTTATCAGCATATTATCAATCTTAAACTAATAAAATCTACAGATAATACTGATAAAAATGTGTCCTTTAACTCAACACATTGCCTTGTTTGCTAAACAAGTTATCAAATGTTATTCAATAAACTCCTTAGTTGGCACATTTACTTAAATGTCAGGCTGAAATCCAAACTACAAGTGTTTGGATGTTAATGGAAAAAGTAACTATATTCTGCCAGCCTACTGTAAACTGTCTCAGAAGCTCTTCACTAAATCAGAATGGTTTATCTTAGCAAAATGGGATTTCTTTTATTTAAACTGACATTTGAAGGATTTTTATTGACGGCTAATCACAAACTATGACACATGTAACTCTCTATTAATCATTTCTAGCCAGATGACTATGTTTTTTTTTTTTTTTAAATAAAGGTCAATAATTACCTGAAACGTGAATCTTTCACTTTATCAGCAGATTCAGTCGGCTGAGTTGTCGACGTACAGAGTCAGATTTAGTCAAGTTTTAAGTTATTCATTGATTTTTTTTATTACGCTTATGTGAGGATATGATCTGAGCTTTATACTGAAAAATTCAAGTGTTTTTTTTTTATATAAATCAACATTTTTAAATGTTTCAGATTTCAATATGTCCTGTTTTTAAGGTGTGCTGTATCTTTAAATATGAAATGAAGAAATCTATTTGACTATTATTCTGTTTTGCAACATTGACTCCAATTTGTATGTTTTTATATGATAAGGATTTTACTACTATAATTTCATTGTTACATGTTAAAATAATTATATTTACACAAAACCTCTAAAAAGAAAGGATAGGCTTCAAGTCTTTGTCCTTTTCCTGTGTGGGCATTTCATGTCCTTCCTTTGCATGCTTGGGTTTACTTAAATTTTCTTTGTTTCCTCATCATGCAGGTTAAGTTAAGATGTTTCTGTAACCTGTCCAGATTTTACCCTTCTAAAACTATGGGAGTATTTAGGTGATAAGGCAGTACATGTTGCTCAGTACAGAGGAAGGAAAGAGCATTGACCTGGAAAGGATGAGCTGAATTTTTTGCCGCAGATGACACAAGCAAATGGTGTGCTCTGTCTCTAAAACTTGTCAGATTTTCAGTAATCAGTTTTTACTAGTTAATAATGTAATTATATATTTTTTAAATTGAGCTTGAGAAAAATCATGAAACTTCATAAACTTCAAAATGATTTTATTTTATTTTATTTTTTTTTGCAGATCTGACCAGCAAGACTTGAGATGTTTTTCTAGAATTTGTACCAAATGTGTGTTTTTATTTTATTTTATTTATTTTTTTAATTGTTCATAGAACAGCAGGAATGAGTATTCTGGACCTACACGAATACTTGAAACACTTTCAACATCTGTACACTCAGGGGATGAAAACAGCAAACTGCTGACAGTTTTTTTTATTTAAAGGTTTAATGAATAACAATTTACTCACTTAACTTTGTAACTAATGATTAATTGACTGAGCATTAATGTTTTAGCCCATGAGATAAGACTCCAGGGTGATGTCAAGCCAAAAGCATGTTTACAGATTATTTATTTTACATTTTATCATATTAAAACCATAAACTTTTATTCTATGGGTGTTTAAATAAAAAAAAATGGTTTTCACATTTTTTTTTCTTACAAAGAAAAATCAAACAAGTGTGGCATACATTTGTATTCAACCACCATTACTCACGAGGTAATTGTGGTCAATTCCCCTGAATAAGATGTGAACAACCACTTGTTTTTCAAAAGACTGAATATGTGTAGTTTAATCTTTCAAACTAACAGCTTAAGCTGTTGGAAGGAAAACCCTAATATGTGAATAAATTATATCTTGATAAAAGGTCCAGAGAACTTATTTTAAAGCAAACATAAAGAGAAAAATTGTGATCAGATTCCACTGTGACCAATAGTTTATCATAATGCCGAACTGTATGTTCTAAGAACAGAATCACTTGTACTAAGGATTTAAAGCAAACATGTTTGCTCTTCATGTGAATTAAAACTTTGTAAGACAAATCAGTTTGTTAAAAAGCAGTCAAAGTAAAATGGAAAACTTTTGAAGACCATCAGAAAACCTGAAGAAATGTTGATGTAGATTACCTAAAGAGATTGTAGGTAGTCTAATAAGGGATGTTACGAAACTTATTGAATACAAAACAAAAGTTCCAATCTGTGGACATGCTGGTTTGCAAGCTGAATGTCCATCAGAATCTTCAAAGATGTCCAGATGAACTGAATGTCTTTGCTATGGAAGCTGTGCTATCTGGACGTCCTATCATATTGAACATTTTCACAATGAGTATCCGTGATGTTCTTTTACTCAAACTAATGGGTGTGTAATTTCTTTGGTCAGCTCAAAACATACACCAGAGCATAACAATGTGCTGCCAGATTCACCGTACAGACATTACAAACTTTCTAAAGATAACTTCTGACAATTTAGAATGTTATTTGTAAGGCTAATTTATTTTAGGAACTTTATCAGTAAGTGGAACACATTATATAGGTTGACTATACTAAAATGAATGTTTGAAAGCCTTTTTTTTCCTCTTAATTGTAATGAATTTTGATTTACTTCTGATGAAAACATGACATTTAAAATTAGAATATTTCCTCAGACCAATAAAAAAAGAACTATTTTTAAAAACAGAAACGTGGACTTAATAAAACACATGTTTATTACCTGCTTAATTGTTATATTTTTTAAAATGTACTTTAAATTTGACAGAAGAGACTCATTGGGAAGTATGATTTATTGAATATCACTGCATACTGAGATTAAATTACAGAGATAGACTCTATTATTTTGGTGACCTCTAAAGTCAGGTGGTTGCACTGGATTTCATTTGGTGGTTTTGGAGAAAAATGAGACAAATACCAACGCACACCACACTTTTCAAATGTTTATTTCTAAAAATATTTACACTCGTACATCCCTTCTCCTTGCTTTCACTACTATGTGTAGCTTCGTGCTGGTGAAGCACATAGATTTAAAAAATAAAATAAAATATGCACTGAAGTTTATGATGTGAAAAACTGGAATAGATAAAACCTGTTTAAATGATTTAACAAATGATTGAATTCTTCTCTACTTTTGTTCTTTAGGTGTTCCGTAAAGATCTTCTTGCCATGTTTAATACCTCAACCATTAACAGAGAAGAGCTCCAGTGTCTTGGGTAAACAGTGACTGAGGACCCTCAGAGTTGAACCAAGAGTCAGATATGGGAAAAGTCTACAATATCAGTAAAAATGTGGGCCTTGGACTTCTGGTACTCGGAGTCAGCGCCGCGGTTACAATAATTGGTTTATCTATTGCTTATGATAAGCAAAGGGCCAAGACTCAAGGTAAGCCTGGAGATGAAGCTGATACGGGTAGCACATCTATACCGCCGACGACCCCCTTCACCCCAAGGGAACCCTGGGATTACTACAGACTTCCAGACTCTCTTGTCCCTCTGACCTACAATGTGACTCTATGGCCCAGACTGAAGCCCAACGCAGACAACATGTACATCTTCACTGGACATTCTTCTGTGGTCTTTAGGTGTAAGAAAGAAACAGATCTCATACTTATCCATGCCAACAAGCTGAACTTCACCATGTACGGTGGCAACCATGCGAAGCTGAGTGGCCAGGGTGAAGCTGCCGCGCCTGCCATACGGAGCACTTGGCTTGTGGTGAGGACGCAGTATCTTGTTGTTCAGCTGAGCAGCAAACTAGCCGTGGGAAAATCCTATGAGCTTTACACAGAATTTAGAGGGGAGCTGGCAGATGACCTGGAGGGTTTCTACAGGAGTGAGTACATGGATGACGGTGTAAAGAAGTAAGAAGTGATGGATCATTTTGCGCCATATTCACACTTTTGACTAAGAAGGCTTTGTTGTTCTATTTACCATCCTGCTGTCTGTTTTGTGGTTACGTTTAACTTGAACATTTCTCAGAGTTGTCGCCACCTCTCAGATGCAAGCAACGTATGCCAGAAAAGCGTTTCCCTGCTTTGATGAACCAGCCATGAAAGCAAATTTCAGCGTCACCATTATTCATGAGCGAGGCACCGTTGCTCTCTCCAACGGCAAGGAAATAGGTTGGTTTCAAAAATATATTTTTTTTTTACACTTTGTTCAAAATAAATATGTTAACACTTTAGCTAACAAAATAAAAATGCTCAAGTGTGGTGTGTTTGAAGACAGACTGACATCACACTGTCATAAAAACGTCTTTATGGATATTTGTGACTGTTATTAAGTGTGATTTGGTAAATTATGACAGTTTTAATAAAATGTTGTCATTGTTTAAAATGCCTTTGTTGTGACAACTTGACATTAACCAAGAATCATCATCTGTCATAAATATGATGGGTATTAAATATCAAACGTTAACAAGTTATGTATCCGTGTATTAATACACACCCTGCCATTTGTTGTTAGACCATGACAATTGTGTCCTTAATATTTTTTCCTTATCAATCAAACGTGCTACCACTGTGTTTGATTGTTGGTATGAAGTTCGTTGTCTAAAATGTTCTCTTAGCTTCACTCCAGAAGTAACGGCATGCACATTTTCTAAAAAGTCTGTAGCTCTCCAATGGATGAAATTTTTGCCCAGGCTCTTTCGTGAATACTGATTTTAACTGAGTCAAGTGAGGCCTGCACTGCTTTAGATGTTGCTCTGGATTCTTCTTTGACCTCATAAATGAGTCGTCAATAAGGCCCTGAAGTGTTTCATATAATGGCCACTCATGGGAAGGTTCATCATTGCTCTGTATTTTTATGTCTGTCGATGATGGATCTCACTGTGATTCCCTAATATCCTTTGCTTTAGAAATAGCTTCATAACCAGGTACAGGCTGATAGATGGCAAAGATTTTGCTTGTCATCTGTACTTGAATTTATTTATTTATTTTTTATATTTGTCATATGTTGCTTTTAGAAAACAGTTCATGTGTCAGAGAGGTCCTGTTAAGGGATTTCTAGCAGGAATCAAGCCTGGGTGCAGTTTGGGAAATTGAAATCAGCTCATTAAAAAAGTTTGCTTAATCAAAACTAATTCATGATTTAACAAGTGCTAAGTTATTTTTCCAGAAAGATTCAGGCTAGCACATGTTCTGTGTCTAATGTAAAAAAAATAATTTTATGAACTGAAATATTTAAGTGTGATTAAAAAAAGTAAGAAATGTGTAAGCTGAAATGCGTTTTCACATTCCTTTATTGGAAGATTCATTGCTTTGAAATTCTTTAAGGTGACATTTCTGTTGTTACTATCAAACTGTAGATAATAAATGACTTGAACAATTTGTAAGAAAATCTGTAATGTTTCACTGTCAATGCCAACAGAGTGTCAAAGTCTGGCTTTTTGTTTTTGTCTTTGCACAGATTCTTCAGACTCCATCCGTGATAATGTTCAAGTCACAGTTACTGCATTTGAACCCACTCCGAAAATGTCCACCTACATATTAGCATTTGTCGTCTGTGAATTTGGCTACATTCAGTCAAACGACAGCAATTTGTTGGTGAGAATAAATGTCCTTGTTCTTGATGTTCATTTAAATATTCAGGGATAACCTCACGCTACTTAATTTGTGCACAAAATTGGCCTTAAGACAGCCAACCCACACCATTTCACCTAATTTGATTGTAATTTTCTTTACAGATTCGAATATGGGCTCGAAAAAAAGCCTTAAATGATGGGCAGGGCAATTATGCTCTTAATGTTACAGGACCGATCCTTCAGTTCTATGAGAGATACTACAACGCAACTTACCCGCTCTCTAAATCAGGTAGGTTACATGTAAAATAAATATTTTGTTACAAAGTAGTTGTGGGATGGAAATTTGTCTTCTTAAGTGCCTTTGGAACAATGGAGTAAAATAAAGAAGATGGTGTATTTATACACCATCTTAGCATCCTTAAATATATGGACGCTAAGGCTAAAACTGAGGGCAGAGGTGTAGAAACCTTTCAGAATACTAACAGCCCAGCAAGATGAAGCTTTCATTTATATCTAAATAACCTTTTACAAATTAGTGTCCATCCAGTGAAGTTTGAATGCTCTGTGAGATCCTGAGTGAAATCAGCTTAAGCAAGAGTTAATTGACAAAATAAGAATGCTAATGCTATGGATAACCAAAACTCAAACTAAAAACAAGACGATGCTGAATGATTATGAGAGCAAAGTCTTTTTCTGTTTTTATTATTAGTATATTTCCTTAGTTATTCACTGTAATCTTGTGTGACATCTTCTCTAGTCAGGATGAAGCAAAACGAACCTATACTATGTGAAATGCTGTCTGCTTGGTTTTATAAAACAGTTTCCCTTGGTCTCTGTAGATCAGATCGCTCTTCCTGATTTCAATGCTGGAGCCATGGAAAACTGGGGTCTGGTGACATACCGGGAAACAGCCCTGCTCTATGACTCCAACCTTTCCTCCACAGGAAACAAAGAGAGGGTCGCAACTGTCATCTCTCATGAGCTCGCTCACATGGTATGCCATTCTTTTCTTCACAAACACCTTACTAACATGTCAGAGGTGTTGAGTATCTCAAGTACAGAAGGATTTTTCTGTTAAATCCGCTTCCTCTTTTTTCAAGTGGCTTTTAGGTTAGACCTATACCAGGCCTGTGTTGACCAGAATCAATCTATTAAGTCATTTTTGCTTTAAAGTTGCTAACTGAGATTTCATCATGACAAAATATTAGATTTTTTTTTTCTAGTGGTTTGGAAACTTGGTGACTTTGCAGTGGTGGAATGACCTGTGGCTAAATGAAGGCTTTGCTTCATACGTGGAATACCTTGGAGTTGATTTCGTTGAACCCACCTGGAACATCGTAAGATTAAAAACAATGAAAAGCTCTCAAAGCCTTCCCAGTGAATATGGCTGCAGAAAGTTTTGTCCTGACTCCTTTCTGCTTCAATCCAGAAAGACTACATCATTCTGTACGATGTTCAGAAAGTGTTTGCCATAGACGCCCTGGCCTCTTCTCACCCATTGTCCCGCAAAGAAGAGGAGGTTAATACGCCTGCCGAGATTAGTGAGATGTTCAACACCATCTCTTACAACAAGGTTGGATTTTTTTTAGGAAGTGGCAGCATTTACATACTTGCTTAGAAGAATGACCAACAAGCTTGATAAAGTTGTGATAATCACAGTCAGGGATTTATGTAGCTGTCCCTACATGATCTTGGCCCTGTAATTTGAGGCACTAATCCAACACAGTGTGTTTCGCCATTGTTCTGAATCAACAGTGTTTTCTTCATATGAAGTTCAAACTTCTTGAATTCTTGTGGTTTAGAAGTTTGTTCTTTTCAGGGTGCAGCGGTGCTTAGGATGCTGTCAGAGTTTCTCAGCGAGCCTGTGTTTGCCAAAGGACTCAGTGTGGGTAACAGCAACACCAAGAAACATTATTTCCATCTTCTTTGTGGTTAGATATCCTGCTAAATTCAATTTAAAAACAAAAGTGTTCATTTTATTTATTTTTATGAAGTTGCAACAACATTTGAAAGTGTGTACATGCTTTGACTAATACTTTCCAGAAACACCTTTTTTGGTTTAATGTTAACATCCAGTCATTTTAGGTTGATCTTCTATAATTTCCAGTGAATTTAATTAACCTGACATAGTTCACAGTTTTTTTAAAAGACACTGATCCCACCATTTCACTGGTGCTGTCACTTGTGAGTTTTTNGGCAAGCAGATGGGAATAATTTAGCAGTGCACTAACGATCAATTCCCTTTGTGTCAAAGTGTTTATGATTAAGTGTCATTCTCCTTGAACTTATCAGCATATTATCCATCTTAAGCTAATAAAATCTACAGATAATACTGATAAAAATGTGCCCTTTTACTCATCACATTGCCTTGTTTGCTAAACAAGTTATCAAATGTTATTCAATAAACTACTTAGTTGGCACATTTACTTAAATGTCAGGCTGAAATCCAAACTACAAGTGTTTGGATGTTAATGGAAAAAGTAACTATATTCTGCCAGCCTACTGTAAACTGTCTCAGAAGCTCTTCACTAAATCAGAATGGTTTATCTTAGCAAAATGGGATTTCTTTTATTTAAACTGACATTTGAAGGATTTTTATTGACGGCTAATCACAAACTATGACACATGTAACTCTCTATTAATCATTTCTAGCCAGATGACTATGTTTTTTTTTTTTTTTAAATAAAGGTCAATAATTACCTGAAACGTGAATCTTTCACTTTATCAGCAGATTCAGTCGGCTGAGTTGTCGACGTACAGAGTCAGATTTAGTCAAGTTTTAAGTTATTCATTGATTTTTTTTATTACGCTTATGTGAGGATATGATCTGAGCTTTATACTGAAAAATTCAAGTGTTTTTTTTTTATATAAATCAACATTTTTAAATGTTTCAGATTTCAATATGTCCTGTTTTTAAGGTGTGCTGTATCTTTAAATATGAAATGAAGAAATCTATTTGACTATTATTCTGTTTTGCAACATTGACTCCAATTTGTATGTTTTTATATGATAAGGATTTTACTACTATAATTTCATTGTTACATGTTAAAATAATTATATTTACACAAAACCTCTAAAAAGAAACGATAGGCTTCAAATCTTTGCCCTTTTCCTGTGTGGGCATTTCATGTCCTTCCTTTGCATGCTTGGGTTTACTTAAATTTTCTTTGTTTCCTCATCATGCAGGTTAAGTTAAGATGTTTCTGTAACCTGTCCAGATTTTACCCTTCTAAAACTATGGGAGTATTTAGGTGATAAGGCAGTACATGTTGCTCAGTACAGAGGAAGGAAAGAGCATTGACCTGGAAAGGATGAGCTCAATTTTTTGCCGCAGATGACACAAGCAAATGGTGTGCTCTGTCTCTAAAACTTGTCAGATTTTCAGTAATCAGTTTTTACTAGTTAATAATGTAAAATATATTTTTTAAATTGAGCTTGAGAAAAATCATGAAACTTCATAAACTTCAAAATGATTTTATTTTATTTTATTTTTTTTTGCAGATCTGACCAGCAAGACTTGAGATGTTTTTCTAGAATTTGTACCAAATGTGTGTTTTTATTTTATTTTATTTATTTTTTTAATTGTTCATAGAACAGCAGGAATGAGTATTCTGGACCTACACGAATACTTGAAACACTTTCAACATCTGTACACTCAGGGGATGAAAACAGCAAACTGCTGACAGTTTTTTTATTTAGAGGTTTAATGAATAACATTTTACTAATGATTAATTGACTGAGCATTAATGTTTTAGCCCATGAGATAAGACTCCAGGGTGATGTCAAACCGAAAGCATGCTTACATATCATTTATTTTACATTTTATCATATTAAAACCATAAACTTTTATTCTATGGGTGTTTAAATAAAAAAAAATGGTTTTCACATTTTTTTTTCTTACAAAGAAAAATCAAACAAGTGTGGCATACATTTGTATTCAACCACCATTACTCACGAGGTAATTGTGGTCAATTCCCCTGAATAAGATGTGAACAACCACTTGTTTTTCAAAAGACTGAATATGTGTAGTTTAATCTTTCAAACTAACAGCTTAAGCTGTTGGAAGGAAAACCCTAATATGTGAATAAATTATATCTTGATAAAAGGTCCAGAGAACTTATTTTAAAGCAAACATAAAGAGAAAAATTGTGATCAGATTATATTGTGACCAATAGTTTATCATAATGCCAAACTGTATGTTCTAAGAACAGAATCACTTGTACTAAGGATTTAAAGCAAACATGTTTGCTCTTCATGTGAATTAAAACTTCGTAAGACAAATCAGTTTGTTAAAAAGCAGTCAAAGTAAAATGGAAAACTTTTGAAGACCATCAGAAAACCTGAAGAAATGTTGATGTAGATTACCTAAAGAGATTGTAGGTAGTCTAATAAGGGATGTTACGAAACTTATTGAATACAAAACAAAAGTTCCAATCTGTGGACATGCTGGTTTGCAAGCTGAATGTCCATCAGAATCTTCAAAGATGTCCAGATGAACTGAATGTCTTTGCTATGGAAGCTGTGCTATCTGGACGTCCTATCATATTGAACATTTTCACAATGAGTATCCGTGATGTTCTTTTACTCAAACTAATGGGTGTGTAATTTCTTTGGTCAGCTCAAAATGTACACCAGAGCATAACAATGTGCTGCCAGATTCACCGTACAGACATTACAAACTTTCTAAAGATAACTTCTGACAATTTAGAATGTTATTTGTAAGGCTAATTTATTTTAGGAACTTTATCAGTAAGTGGAACACATTATATAGGTTGACTATACTAAAATGAATGTTTGAAAGCCTTTTTTTTCCTCTTAATTGTAATGAATTTTGATTTACTTCTGATGAAAACATGACATTTAAAATTAGAATATTTCCTCAGACCAATAAAAAAAGAACTATTTTTAAAAACAGAAACGTGGACTTAATAAAACACATGTTTATTACCTGCTTAATTGTTATATTTTTTAAAATGTACTTTAAATTTGACAGAAGAGACTCATTGGGAAGTATGATTTATTGAATATCACTGCATACTGAGATTAAATTACAGAGATAGACTCTATTATTTTGGTGACCTCTAAAGTCAGGTGGTTGCACTGGATTTCATTTGGTGGTTTTGGAGAAAAATGAGACAAATACCAACGCACACCACACTTTTCAAATGTTTATTTCTAAAAATATTTACACTCGTACATCCCTTCTCCTTGCTTTCACTACTATGTGTAGCTTCGTGCTGGTGAAGCACATAGATTTAAAAAATAAAATAAAATATGCACTGAAGTTTATGATGTGAAAAACTGGAATAGATAAAACCTGTTTAAATGATTTAACAAATGATTGAATTCTTCTCTACTTTTGTTCTTTAGGTGTTCCGTAAAGATCTTCTTGCCATGTTTAATACCTCAACCATTAACAGAGAAGAGCTCCAGTGTCTTGGGTAAACAGTGACTGAGGACCCTCAGAGTTGAACCAAGAGTCAGATATGGGAAAAGTCTACAATATCAGTAAAAATGTGGGCCTTGGACTTCTGGTACTCGGAGTCAGCGCCGCGGTTACAATAATTGGTTTATCTATTGCTTATGATAAGCAAAGGGCCAAGACTCAAGGTAAGCCTGGAGATGAAGCTGATACGGGTAGCACATCTATACCGCCGACGACCCCCTTCACCCCAAGGGAACCCTGGGATTACTACAGACTTCCAGACTCTCTTGTCCCTCTGACCTACAATGTGACTCTATGGCCCAGACTGAAGCCCAACGCAGACAACATGTACATCTTCACTGGACATTCTTCTGTGGTCTTTAGGTGTAAGAAAGAAACAGATCTCATACTTATCCATGCCAACAAGCTGAACTTCACCATGTACGGTGGCAACCATGCGAAGCTGAGTGGCCAGGGTGAAGCTGCCGCGCCTGCCATACGGAGCACTTGGCTTGTGGTGAGGACGCAGTATCTTGTTGTTCAGCTGAGCAGCAAACTAGCCGTGGGAAAATCCTATGAGCTTTACACAGAATTTAGAGGGGAGCTGGCAGATGACCTGGAGGGTTTCTACAGGAGTGAGTACATGGATGACGGTGTAAAGAAGTAAGAAGTGATGGATCATTTTGCGCCATATTCACACTTTTGACTAAGAAGGCTTTGTTGTTCTATTTACCATCCTGCTGTCTGTTTTGTGGTTACGTTTAACTTGAACATTTCTCAGAGTTGTCGCCACCTCTCAGATGCAAGCAACGTATGCCAGAAAAGCGTTTCCCTGCTTTGATGAACCAGCCATGAAAGCAAATTTCAGCGTCACCATTATTCATGAGCGAGGCACCGTTGCTCTCTCCAACGGCAAGGAAATAGGTTGGTTTCAAAAATATATTTTTTTTTTACACTTTGTTCAAAATAAATATGTTAACACTTTAGCTAACAAAATAAAAATGCTCAAGTGTGGTGTGTTTGAAGACAGACTGACATCACACTGTCATAAAAACGTCTTTATGGATATTTGTGACTGTTATTAAGTGTGATTTGGTAAATTATGACAGTTTTAATAAAATGTTGTCATTGTTTAAAATGCCTTTGTTGTGACAACTTGACATTAACCAAGAATCATCATCTGTCATAAATATGATGGGTATTAAATATCAAACGTTAACAAGTTATGTATCCGTGTATTAATACACACCCTGCCATTTGTTGTTAGACCATGACAATTGTGTCCTTAATATTTTTTCCTTATCAATCAAACGTGCTACCACTGTGTTTGATTGTTGGTATGAAGTTCGTTGTCTAAAATGTTCTCTTAGCTTCACTCCAGAAGTAACGGCATGCACATTTTCTAAAAAGTCTGTAGCTCTCCAATGGATGAAATTTTTGCCCAGGCTCTTTCGTGAATACTGATTTTAACTGAGTCAAGTGAGGCCTGCACTGCTTTAGATGTTGCTCTGGATTCTTCTTTGACCTCATAAATGAGTCGTCAATAAGGCCCTGAAGTGTTTCATATAATGGCCACTCATGGGAAGGTTCATCATTGCTCTGTATTTTTATGTCTGTCGATGATGGATCTCACTGTGATTCCCTAATATCCTTTGCTTTAGAAATAGCTTCATAACCAGGTACAGGCTGATAGATGGCAAAGATTTTGCTTGTCATCTGTACTTGAATTTATTTATTTATTTTTTATATTTGTCATATGTTGCTTTTAGAAAACAGTTCATGTGTCAGAGAGGTCCTGTTAAGGGATTTCTAGCAGGAATCAAGCCTGGGTGCAGTTTGGGAAATTGAAATCAGCTCATTAAAAAAGTTTGCTTAATCAAAACTAATTCATGATTTAACAAGTGCTAAGTTATTTTTCCAGAAAGATTCAGGCTAGCACATGTTCTGTGTCTAATGTAAAAAAAATAATTTTATGAACTGAAATATTTAAGTGTGATTAAAAAAAGTAAGAAATGTGTAAGCTGAAATGCGTTTTCACATTCCTTTATTGGAAGATTCATTGCTTTGAAATTCTTTAAGGTGACATTTCTGTTGTTACTATCAAACTGTAGATAATAAATGACTTGAACAATTTGTAAGAAAATCTGTAATGTTTCACTGTCAATGCCAACAGAGTGTCAAAGTCTGGCTTTTTGTTTTTGTCTTTGCACAGATTCTTCAGACTCCATCCGTGATAATGTTCAAGTCACAGTTACTGCATTTGAACCCACTCCGAAAATGTCCACCTACATATTAGCATTTGTCGTCTGTGAATTTGGCTACATTCAGTCAAACGACAGCAATTTGTTGGTGAGAATAAATGTCCTTGTTCTTGATGTTCATTTAAATATTCAGGGATAACCTCACGCTACTTAATTTGTGCACAAAATTGGCCTTAAGACAGCCAACCCACACCATTTCACCTAATTTGATTGTAATTTTCTTTACAGATTCGAATATGGGCTCGAAAAAAAGCCTTAAATGATGGGCAGGGCAATTATGCTCTTAATGTTACAGGACCGATCCTTCAGTTCTATGAGAGATACTACAACGCAACTTACCCGCTCTCTAAATCAGGTAGGTTACATGTAAAATAAATATTTTGTTACAAAGTAGTTGTGGGATGGAAATTTGTCTTCTTAAGTGCCTTTGGAACAATGGAGTAAAATAAAGAAGATGGTGTATTTATACACCATCTTAGCATCCTTAAATATATGGACGCTAAGGCTAAAACTGAGGGCAGAGGTGTAGAAACCTTTCAGAATACTAACAGCCCAGCAAGATGAAGCTTTCATTTATATCTAAATAACCTTTTACAAATTAGTGTCCATCCAGTGAAGTTTGAATGCTCTGTGAGATCCTGAGTGAAATCAGCTTAAGCAAGAGTTAATTGACAAAATAAGAATGCTAATGCTATGGATAACCAAAACTCAAACTAAAAACAAGACGATGCTGAATGATTATGAGAGCAAAAATCTTTTTCTGTTTTTATTATTATATATTTCCTTAGTTATTCACTGTCATCTTGTGTGACATCTCCTCTAGTCAGGATGAAGCAAAACAAACCTATACTATGTGAAATGCTGTCTGCTTGGTTTTATAAAACAGTTTCCCTTGGTCTCTGTAGATCAGATCGCTCTTCCTGATTTCAATGCTGGAGCCATGGAAAACTGGGGTCTGGTGACATACCGGGAAACAGCCCTGCTCTATGACTCCAACCTTTCCTCCACAGGAAACAAAGAGAGGGTCGCAACTGTCATCTCTCATGAGCTCGCTCACATGGTATGCCATTCTTTTCTTCACAAACACCTTACTAACATGTCAGAGGTGTTGAGTATCTCAAGTACAGAAGGATTTTTCTGTTAAATCCGCTTCCTCTTTTTTCAAGTGGCTTTTAGGTTAGACCTATACCAGGCCTGTGTTGACCAGAATCAATCTATTAAGTCATTTTTGCTTTAAAGTGCTAACTGAGATTTCATCATGACAAAATATTTGATTTTATTTTTTTTTTCCTAGTGGTTTGGAAACTTGGTGACTTTGCAGTGGTGGAATGACCTGTGGCTAAATGAAGGCTTTGCTTCATACGTGGAATACCTTGGAGTTGATTTCGTTGAACCCACCTGGAACATCGTAAGATTAAAAACAATGAAAAGCTCTCAAAGCCTTCCCAGTGAATATGGCTGCAGAAAGTTTTGTCCTGACTCCTTTCTGCTTCAATCCAGAAAGACTACATCATTCTGTACGATGTTCAGAAAGTGTTTGCCATAGACGCCCTGGCCTCTTCTCACCCATTGTCCCGCAAAGAAGAGGAGGTTAATACGCCTGCCGAGATTAGTGAGATGTTCAACACCATCTCTTACAACAAGGTTGGATTTTTTTTAGGAAGTGGCAGCATTTACATACTTGCTTAGAAGAATGAAAGTTGTGATAATCACAGTCAGGGATTTATGTAGCTGTCCCTACATGATCTTGGCCCTGTAATTTGAGGCACTAATCCAACACAGTGTGTTTCGCCATTGTTCTGAATCAACAGTGTTTTCTTCATATGAAGTTCAAACTTCTTGAATTCTTGTGGTTTAGAAGTTTGTTCTTTTCAGGGTGCAGCGGTGCTTAGGATGCTGTCAGAGTTTCTCAGCGAGCCTGTGTTTGCCAAAGGACTCAGTGTGGGTAACAACAACACCAAGAAACATTATTTCCATCTTCTTTGTGGTTCGATATCCTGCTAAATTCAATTTAAAAACAAAAGTGTTCATTTTATTTATTTTTATGAAGTTGCAACAACATTTGAAAGTGTGTATGTGCTTTGACTAATACTTTCCAGAAACACCTTTTTTGGTTTAATATTAACATCCAGTCATTTTAAGTTGATCTTCTATAATTTCCAGTGAATTTAATTAACCTGACATAGTTCACATAGTTTTTTAAAAGACACTGATCCCACCATTTCACTGGTGCTGTCACTTGTGAGTTTTTTTTTTTTTTTTTGCATAGGGGTGATTGGAGGTTATTTATTTGGCAGGTTTAGGACACACACACACACACACACAAAAACAAAGGTTGAACAAGATTTTTCTTTCACATTGTCATGGACATGTTTGTCATAATGATTTATTAAATGCTTTACATGTTATTTCTTCCTGTTTTGTTTTCCTTATAGTCTTACCTCAATGAATTTGCCTATAGCAACACAGTACATACAGATCTGTGGGGTCATCTCCAACAGGTTTGTCAAAGTTCAAAGCTGACAGATGTGCTGTGCTTAATTTCATTTGGGTATCCAGAAAAAAATATAAAATACTTTTCTTCTTTTTTTCCCCCTTTTTTTCCTCCAGGCAGTTGCTGACACACCAGATTTGCATATTCCCTGCTCTGTACGTGACATTATGAACCGCTGGACTCTCCAAATGGGCTTCCCAGTGGTCACCATTAACACCAGAACAGGAGGAATCAGCCAGAAACACTTTTTGTTGGATCCAGATTCGAAAGTGGACAGGCCGTCCCAGTTCAAGTACAAATGAGTTTTCCTTTATTATTCTTCTTCAATTTGATAATGAACAATAAATTGGAGTTATTGAAGATGGCACACAAAATGAATAGCTTAAATCCTGGGCTGCTGCAACCTACACTGTTAACTTAGGTTAGTTAGAGTTACTTACAGCTACTAAAACCCAGAATTAAAGTTAGGAGAAAATGTAAAAGTTACACAAGACCAATAAAAAGAAAAAAAAATATTACAGAAAACTTGACCTGTTAACAAGGTTGTCCATGTTTTTTCCGGACTTTGTAAATTACACTTAATACTGGGCTCCTTGTATCAATGCAATGTGACATGGAGGCAATCAGCTTGTCGCTTTACTGAGATATAAAGGAAACTTGCTGTAAACCATGACAATGAAAGAAACTTCCTTTATAATTTTTTTTTTTTAATTCAACAATTGAATTTGTGCTAATGCTGGAGTCATGAGATTTCCCAGAAGTTAATGATTTGGATCAGGTTCAAAAGCCGCCACTTTCTAAATCTGAAAGTTGTACTTTGTTAGTCCCAGTGGGTAATTTATTTGTAGCCTTTCAGTCCTGCGATTACCATTTGTGTCTGGGCTGAAACTGTAACTTTTAAGGCTTTTTTCTTGAAATTACATATTCGGTAGCAGAGCTAATGAGAGCGATCTAAATGCAGCCACTATGCTATATTTTTTACACTGTTAAAGAGAAATAACATTCTAGCACAACACAAAACAGTCTGGATAAATTACACATCAAACCACTCTTCATAATTTACATTATGCATTTCATGATATCGTAAAAAAATAAATAAGACGTAAAGGTAAATAAATAAATAAATAAATAAATAAAGAATTCAATCTATTTAGAATTAGGGCTCAACCTGCATGATTTACAGAAGTAACCTTTGGAGCCAATAATGCAAAGTGAGTTTTCTTTCGAGATTCTGTAAGATTTAAAGAAACTTAGGCTTGAAATATTTCACTCCATGTATGATATACATGTAGAGTGAAATATGTTTTAAATTCATTAAAATACAACTGCAGGTCTCCAAATATCATTTTTATAGGAATCCTGAAAAACATTTTATTATCAGAGTTAGACATAGTAAATGCAACAAGCTGAATATTGTTTAGAAATATTAATAAACATATTGACATTAAGATTGTATCTTTTTATTTTTCTGTTTAGTTATACATGGTTTGTTCCAATAAAATGGATGAAAAATGGAGTGGATCAGCAACAATACTGGCTTCTGAATAAAACAGGTACGTTCACAGCGACATGCGCAGCAATGTCAGAAGTGTGAGAGCTCTGGAACAACATGTTTGACTTTTAACTCAGGGGTGAAACTAAATGCATGTTAATGTTCCTTAATACAATGCAAATCCTCCAAGACACCCATGCTCAGATGAGAGTTTCTGGACAGGAATGGGTACTAGCAAACACAAACGTGTCTGGCTACTTCAGGATTAACTATGATGCTGACAACTGGGATCGTCTCCTCTCTCAGCTTGACACCAATCACCAGGTAGGCAATGTACTATTTTCACTGACATTATTCTGTGTACACTAACGGGTCGGATAAACTGGTGTCTGCATCAAAATGCAAACCTCTCCATGAGTTTTATTAAAGTAAAGCCTCTTCACGTATTTGCATTGGCTTCTTTTCTTCTGTCAGGCTTTATCTGTCATGAACCGAGCTCAGATCATCGATGATGCATTTAATCTGGCAAGGTGAAAAAAAAAGTCATGAAAAAAATTCCACAATGTTTTTTTTTTTTTTTTTTTCAAGCATATAAAATACTTCTTTCTTTCATTTAGGGCAAAACTGATCCCCACGACATTGGCTCTGAGAACTACTCAATACCTGTCAAAAGAGAGAGACTATATCCCCTGGGCGTCAGCCCTGAGAAACCTTCGGTACTATATCCTCATGTTTGATCGCACCGAAGTCTACGGACCTTTGCAGGTTGATTTTATTTTGTGCTAAAAAGGACAAGCTCTTAGAGATAAAATGAAATTTCTAACCCCAAATATTCATTGTTACATTTCTGTTTTAGGCATACCTCAAGAAACAAATCGAACCACTTTTTGAATACTTTGAAACAGTCACAACAAACTGGACCAAAACACCAATAGAACACTCAGACCAGTAAGCAATAAGCGTGCACATAACATCTCTGACAGATACATTTTAACTTGAACTCCTCATAGTTTTAGATGCTTCTTTTCAGATATAATCAGATCAATGCTGTTTGGATGGCGTGTAGTATGGGTGTGGAGTCCTGCAGGAAACAAGTCAGCAGCTGGTTTAGACTGTGGATGGGCAACCCAGATCACAACCCGTGAGTATGAAGGAAATCGTATCTGTTTGTGCTTAAAAACATCCTATTTTTCCTCACAGAAATTACTGTGGAGAGCGTGTTTACCTAAGTAATGACCTTCACCTTCATTGACTATATTTCTCCAGTTCACCTCATAATGTACTTCCTAGATTTTTAGGTCCCAAATGAGGGATTTAACGAGTACGAAGGAATGTGTTGTTTGAATGCCCGCCAATAAAGTTATCTCATATGAATGTTTCTTTTGTGGTTCTAAAATTCATAAATATCTCGTTAGTTTATTTAACATAGACTGGGAACCTGTCCAGCAATTTGAAGGAATGATTACATGTTTAAATCTTTGACTGTAAAATCACCTCCAGTCACAAAAATATATATTTTATGTCTGTCTCCAGTTTAAGAAACCTTTAAAAAAATAAAATAAAAAAAAGTCTGTTATTTGTGGTGTAACGTCCAGTGATGATTAGTCAATCATCACTGACTGACTAATTAGTCCCTGTGGTGTCTCCTCTTCTCTCAGACAGTCTCTTGGTGAGTTGTGACTCTGAGTCAGTATGAAATGCAATAAATGTTTTTTTTTTCTACTTCTTTCATTTGAATTTTATGGGAAATTCCTGCAAAGATATTTTTGTGTGGTTTTGTTTTCCGCCATATCTTGGATACACGTTGTACGTCACTTTGTATTTCTAAATACTTTCACCATCATATCCAAATTGGTTCCAAATGCATAGTCAGAAGCCACCAAGACGACAGAAACACCTTTGTTAAAAGCAAACACCCTTCTGGTCTGATTAACCTTCTGACCGAAGTAACAGCTGTTTGTGCCAGTATTTCCCCCGCCAGCCAAACCTCGAGGCAGGACTGTGGGAACTGCATGAGCAAAAGGGCTCAGTAAGATTTGTGAGTGAGACAACAGACCAATTTAGGAACGCCATTTAGTAGCAGTTCTGGTGTTGAAATTTGTCGAGTAAAGTAGTTAAGAGAATTCCAGCTCCTTTTGTCTTCTTTCTTCTCTCAAATTGACATAGAGATTAAAATCCAAATTAGGCAGCAGCACTTATTTCTATAGGCTCTTGGGAGCTGGATAAACTCAGCTTAGATAAGAATCTTTTGAATTTTCTGTTTATAAAACTTTCCCTGTTTAGATATTGTGTATACAGTAGAAATGTTGCAGTCTCCTTGTACCTCAGATTTGGCTTTTTTTTTGAGGGAGGTGGAGTGGAGACATGACGGTCAGGATTCAAACAGGCTACGTCACTTAGTATGAGGCATCCGCTCTATCTGTACTCCTCACAATGCCCCCTATTTCTTTTTGCTTACTTAAATAATTGGTGCTTAAATCTTCTTGTGATCATTGATAAGATACATATTCAATTATGTTGATTACCAGTACCCTTTGATTCATTATATTTTACTGACATACTTATTTTAGTGTTCTAGCTATTATTAACCCTGAAACATGCAAAGAACTCTCTCTGCTTTTTTGAATTTTTGTTTGTGATAGAAATTGTTAGACATGCAGAAAGATAATTCATTCTTCTGATCTCTTATTCATTCTACTGACCAGGATTCCTTCCGACTTGAAAGCCACAGTTTACTGCAGCGCTATTGGCTTTGGTGGTGCTGAAGAATGGGACTTTGCCTGGAAGATGTTTCAGAACGCGTCTCTGGCATCGGAAGCTTCCAGACTCAGGTCGGCTCTGGCCTGCACCAAAACACCGTGGCTCTTGAACAGGTGGGTGCTGCTTTTGCATCCTGTGCTTTCCCAGCAGCAATATCATGGCTAGCTGCTTATTAAAGACGTTAAAGTGTTTAATCACAAAGTTAAATTCAATTTCACTTATTTCCTCCCAGTTTTTTTTCACCATTAATCTTACGTTTCTAGGGGCTATGGTCCCAGTTGCTTCTGTGGAGTAGGTGGAAGTTTTTATAAATGAATAATTCGGAGCTGATTTTGCAAATACTCTTTCAATTAGAAATATTTTCATGTGTAACTTAGTAGGATCTTTAAGAATTTGATAAATAAAATAAAAATCTGATGTTTAATCGACATTATGTCAAAACAACAAATAGAAATTTGCTAAATGATCCAGTTTGATGTATGGTGATCTGTTATGAAAAGTGTTTATTTACTTACTAATTATTTAGAACATTTAGACAAACTTTAGCAAATTTGCAGTGAGTTTAATCATCAATATACTTCAAGTATACTTGAAGATCACCATATACGTTGAAGGCCATTATTTTCACATTAGATACATTTTCTGTTAGTATAATGGCCTAAAAATCTAAATACATCTTAAATGCATTCATTGGATTGGTCAGTAGAGAGCAGCTGGTGAGAACTGTTGATGTATCTTCTTCTTCCTGAAGGGGCGTGTCATCTGTCAGCGGAATATGTCAACAGCTTCTGTTCCTGAGTGAAGTTCAAATACGGAAGGGTAGCTCAGGAGATAAGATCAAGCAAGACGTGATTTGCAAATGATCTTAACCATTATCATCGCTTAAAAGCTACAGACATCATTCAGTTTTAGATATGATGACAAAGCTGCAAATTTGAGTGAGATTGCATGAAACCCTAGACCAGTGGTTCCCAAACTTTTTCTTCCCCTAGGGGGCGCGCCCCACAGTTTGGGAACCTCTGCCCTAGACCAAGATGAGTGTTAGCAGTAGCTCTCAAAGTCTCTGGCAAAAGGGTTCGAGATGTAATTATTGTTGTTTTTTTCTTCCTGCTGGAAGTAACCATCCAAATTCTGCCTCCTAATTTTTTATACTTCTTCTATTTGGTGACTCTGTTTCGAGGCAGGTATCTGGAATATACCCTCGATCCGAACAAGATACGCAAGCAAGATGTCACCTCCACCATCCAGTCCATCGCAAATAATGTCATAGGAATGCCACTGGCTTGGAACTTTGTCAGAGCAAAATGGAGTTACATCTTCCAACAGTAAGAGGACGCTTCAATAAAAACAAAAAGCACATTACAGCATCACAGTCCAGAGGTTTTTGGGGAAGATTTCATGTGATTTATAAATACAAAGTAGTGCATAAATGTGAAGACAAAGAAAGGGGATACATGGTTTCAAATTCAACCCACTTTTAATCTAATACCGCTGAATAAAATTTGTTTAGATTAAACTTTTTACTTATGTTAGATAGCCAAGTCCAGAGCTGAATCCAGATGAGAATTTATGATCAAATATCTCTCCCTCCTGTCAGAGTGAGCGTGGCAAAAAAGAACAAACTAGTACTTCAGGCAAATCTGGTAAAGACAAACCCCTAAAAACTTGCAGCAAAAGAATGCTGAAGCTTTCTGAGGAAAAAAAACAAAAACAGAATGTCTCTTTAAAATCACACACTGGTTTTAACTGACTCGTGTTGCCGAGAAAAACAAGTTTTCTGCAGATATAATCATACCTTCTTTCAACAGTTATTCACAATCACGTCATAATATACCAGAATCCTATTTCTAGTGCACATTATTTTTGAGCTGGTTTTGGGATATTACACAAGTCACACATCTACTAGTTCATTTTTGTGTGTGTGCAATTTTAGCTCTTTGGTTCAATGCTATTTTTTGTCGAAGGTACGGAAGAGGATCTTTTTCCTTCTCTAATCTCATCAGTGGAATCACACTGAGGTTTTCCACAGAATTTGAGTTGCAGGAGGTATGCAGCCCACACAGCCACAAGCACACTAAACTACACCCGGGATTTTCCTGAGGCTATTTAAAGGAAAATAAATGCAATATATGCAGAGGTTCAGCTGTTTGTTTTCTTCTTCTTCTTCTCTCTCCCAGCTGAAGAAATTCAAAGAAGAGAACCTCCATGTTGGTTTTGGCTCAGCTACCATGGCACTTGAGCAAGCCATCGAAAAGACGACAGCCAACATAAAATGGGTGACAGAAAATAAAGCTGACGTGCTCAGTTGGTTTACTGAGCAGACTGTGAAATGAAATTTCAGATGACATGCAGCTTTTGTATTTTCTGGGATTTATAATTGAGAAAAACAGTAATGTAAATGAAAAATACAGCAAAATCTGCACAAAGACGTTCAGTTGTGATGCATTAATAGCGTCAGAAGCAGAAACAGTCTTCACTTTTTTTTATGATATCCTCACACTATATTTTAAAGATAATGATGTATGCAGAGTGTGATTTACTCTATATTCAATAAAGACGACACACTGATCTGGTATGAGGCAGAAGCTAAGATCATTAACTATGACTGATTTAATGCAGATTCTGATAAGTGTCATGCAAACTTCACACTGTGAATCAAATTTGTTTCCTTAAAATATCACCATTAAATAAATTAATAAAAAAACAACTTTCTTGCTTTCTGTGTTTGAGTACTGATCTAAAACATTTCACAACTAGATACTGTTGTAAAGCTTAACAATAAAGAAAATGGCATAAAAAATATATCCCAAAAAGTCTTTGTAGCATCAGTTGTACCTAAAGGCTTAAAATGTTCAAACATATAGATTATATCAGTATCAATATTCTAGATTATACAAAGAACTGTTTAAATTTTCAGGGAACACCATCTGATGTGCAGTCAGCTGTCGACACATCCACATTATAACAGATTAAAGTAATAGTTGTGTTATTTGTGTGGTGCACAATTAATCAAACAGGTACAACATGAAGGAGAAATTAACAGTTGTATGGTGAGTATGTGGCAGAACCTCAAATCAAATTCTGCTTAAGGGCCCCATAAATCTTTGGGTGAGCTCTGTCTGCAGGCTGAAACCTGCTGCCAGAGGAGATATGTTATTTTGTCTATGCAGTGCTTTGCAAAACCAGACTTTTTTTTAATGATAAACTGATGTAAAGTTGTGCTTAAGCGTGATCTGATCTCAGTATAACTATAGTTGTTCTATGAAGAACTGTTTAAGTTGTAGATGGTTGATAGAAAACCTTAATGAACACATAAGACAGGTCAGAGATACATTAAATAAAGGCTAAGTTGTGAAATAAAGTACTGTGTTTGTACTTTTCATCTTCATCTTTCTTGCTGTAAGACTTGTCTTCATCCAGGCTCTTCCTGATTGCCTTCACTTTCTGCTCCTCTTCCTCTTTTTTTACGTAATATATAGATATTACCTTTATAGATAAATGGATATATTTTGTCTTGTTTTAAAAGAAGATACATATAAATATGTGTGAATGTGTTTTGTCTTTCAAAACTTCTAAACATGCATTGTGTTTTTCACTCTGCATAGGGAAACACAATGCAGCCAGCAATTTTACTATACAAATAAAACTAACAAACAGAAAAAAATCACCTTAAATTTGAGCAAAGAAACTCAGTAAACTGTTTTATTGAAACAACACTGGTGTTATGAGAGCCTTCAGAGATATTTTGCATGAAAATAAAATTAAATAAAAATAACCACTATATTTTTAATTTGCAACCAAACGTTGTTTATGGTGATATAATGAGATGAAACTCTGCTAACCAGTTTCTCCATAGTTCCTTATTAAGCTGAGTGAGGGATGTTTCAGGGGGGACAGGACTTCACAGCAGGGGGGATGGCTGTGTGAGGATTCTCTCTCTGAGGCCAGATTATGCTGCAGTAAAATAACGCTCTAGTAGAGGAAGTCTTAAAAAAAACATCTCAATTTTATATTTTCTCCAAAACTTTTTAGCTATGTTACTTCATTGGTTTCACCAGATACTCAATAACTTAAAGCTCAATAAAACTTATTCCAGATTCTTCTAATAGTACAAACACTAGAATTACTACTAGATGCTTTAAGGTGCTTCTAAGAGTTAGTAAAATAGATTTACAGCTAATTCATGAGTTTTAAGAGAAATCTTGTTTAAACTTTACCACATATGGAAACATAGTTTTCCATGAACATGATCAGAAAGACGTCACATCCAGTTACACCACTTCCCACATTGACACATGCTGTTATGTCACTTCCCACATTGACACATGCTATTATGTCACTTCCCACATTGACACATGCTGTTATGTCACTTCCCACATAGACACATGCTGTTATGTCACTTCCCACATTGACACATGCTGTTATGTCACTTCCCACATTGACACATGCTATTATGTCACTTCCCACATAGACACATGCTGTTATGTCACTTCCCACATAGACACATGCTGTTATGTCACTTCCTTGTGGCAGGAGGGGGCGTGATTACTCCATATTTGGAGTGGGACTTTCACGCCCATCCCAACCCCACCCCATGTTAAAAAGGGTGGGGTTTTGAGGGAAGGATTAGCATCATGGTACCTGTCTTGTCTTGATTTATGGGTGTGTCATCTGTCAAATTTGAATTTTACAAAAGGATGCCCTGTAAGTTTTTTTTTTCCATGCCTGTAATGACATTTTCATCGTCCCCCACCAAATTATACATTCTTCCCTCACAAAGGGAGATCTTTTGGCTCTGTAAGTGGCATACTGCTGTGACAGATACAATCTAATCAACAAGAGTGTTCCGTTAGTATTTTAACACACCTGGCTTACTTTTCTTCATCTGAATGATCTTTATAAGCTCAGATTCTTCTCTGATGTCTCTTTTGAGAAAATTAACTTCTGTGGCAGTGCGATATTTCATTAATAAACCAAAATATAACCTATGTAGTTGGTTAGAGATCACAATCAGAGTCATCTGAAGTTGAGGTATTTCTTATCTGTGTTCCGTCGCAGAAATACATAAACCTATGCTATTCTGGAAAAAGCTCAGCATCTGTTCTGGTTTAAAACAAATGATGGATGGCCTACTGAGGAAACCTCCCTTGTTTTTACTTGTCTGAAATGCTCGGCGTAGCACAGTTCAAGGTGATGACATGGGCTGATAACAAACGTTGCTCAACGGGCATGATAATGAGATACTCGAGCAAGAGTCTTTTTTTGATTGGAGTAATAAGCTAATGAGGTGTAGAGAGACATCCTGACATTTAAAAGTTCTCTAGACTATTAAAAAGGAGGCTGATAAGTCATTGAAACCGGTTACTACAGTCATAACCATGTTGAAGTTATTATTATTGGGGTTCAGCCATGTTGGATCTTCTCCAGTAAAAATTACAAACACCTGAGGATATGGGAGTGAAACTGGAGACACAGCTACATCAATCCAAGCATCATTGTATTCTCTCCTCATTGTTTCAGTTTGATATGAATCATCAGAAGAAGACAAGTGAAAAAAAAGTACAAAATCACATGTGTTTACACTTGAACAAAAACCTTCCTGTGTGAGGTGTTGAGGTTTTCTGTTACATTAATGTATTCCAGAAAGTACGGTATCACTTGAATTCACTCCAAGCATCACATTTTCCTGAAAGGGGGCGCGTTTATGGCTAGACTTTGTATAATAAAACATTATAAGAAATTTATATTTGTTAGAATTAAATAGAGTCCCACCTTTGTGATGAAAAGATGCCAGTATCATCAATGCCTTCAACACAGAAAATCTTCTAGGCACAGTTAGAGTGTAAGGAAGTAAACTAGCACCTTTCACAAGTCAAAAACCCCCAAAGTGCTTCACAATAATAACAAGCATGAAAAAACACAGAGATGCATGTGATAACATGCATTGAAAAATGTCAATAGACGTGATGGAACAAGTTCCAAAATGAGTGCCAGTAAATGTTTTGTCCGTGTTCAATTATGGGGAAAAGTTTCCCCATATGGCACTGACAGGCAGAGCACTTCTAAGGACTTTGTAAGGTAAGTTAGAAAAGTGGCTGAATCCACTGAGAAAAGCCTTAAATTGAGAAATGACGCAATAGTTTAGTTTCCTGTTGCTTTATATGTCTTTCCGCGCACATAATTCAGGTACTCTTTCAGACAGGACACTGTCGTTTTTTTTAACTCTCACCATGCGCTCACACGGAAATCCGCTTTGAGGATTATGTCAGAAGGGTTGCTTTGCTGTGACAGGAGGAACCAGCATTTTACCTTAAAAAAAAAGTCTATCTCTTTCAAGCTGCCAATGAGAGTTAATTACTGCTTTTGCATTCCTCTGTGATTACATAGATTTTTCTTCTGGGAGTTGAACATCCCTTTGGAAAGAGCAAAAATCAAAACAGATTCATCTGAGAAGCAAAGATGATGTTCATCCTTCCAGTGAAAACCTTTTCAGTTTTTCCTGTGTTTCAAATTCACCTTGCTTATTAAGACAAAAAATACAATAGTAAACTTCAAAAAATACTTTTATTGGCTTTGCTCTTTGCATTATTTTGGCACCTAAAATTATTTTATCCTACCTCTGTAAAATTTGATGTTGTTGCATTTAATTACACAGGTGTAATTCTAATTGCCCTAAAAAACAATTTAAGATAATCAACTAAAATCAAGCATCTCTCAGGCTTTACTTGTTAATCATCTGTGAATCTCTTAGACTCTGAAGTGATCATAATTAAATGTTGAAGTATAAACTCGGTGCCTCTTCATAAGTTACAAAATCTGCATTCACTCTAACGTGATCATTTGTAATAGATTTTTTAATGTTAGTAGGGGAAAAGTTCCTGCATAGTAGTTAACACTTCCACTCTAGGGCTTGGTTTTAAAAACTCAGTGCAGCATTACAGTTTCACTGAAAATGGACTCCATCTAAATGGAGCAACTTTGTGGTTGATCCTCCAGGAAGAGTTACCCTCTCAGTGCCTGCAAACATTAAAGAATCTGATCGGTCCCATTTTGTGAGCTCCACAGCTGAAACAAAATGCATACATAGTAATATATATTTTTAAATTTAGTCCAACATCGCGCCATGCAAATATTTTATTTGACAACCAGAGTTAAGAATGTACCACCATTCACCTTCTGTGTTTAGGCTTAGAAGCTTCCTTGCTCACAACTTTAGAATTAGCGCTATCAACTTTGGCATGATCTAATTTGCTGATATAAACTTTAATTATTTCTTCTACACAGAAATTTTATTAGTCACATGTTTTATGAGCTTTGCAAAGTTTCAGTTGATCTTTTATGTTCATTCATGAAAGGTCCGATATGAACATGTTAGCCTAACTGTTTTTCCAGATGACGGCAGATTCTTTGTGCGTGATTTCCCATCAAAATTCATCTGTTAACATAAAGAAATACATATAAAATATTAAAAAAATATAGCCACCTTCTATCCCATGGAACTTATGTTTACTAATGATTAGTCGCCTATTTATTTCACTTAACTAACAGGTGGTAAGAAGGAATAGTTGTTATTATTAGCAAAATAGTAACACTCCATCATTCATGTTGCATTTTGCATTTGAGCCAGATTTCAGTCGTTTAGCACTCCCAGTGGAGAGACTGCATGAAAAAGTCTTTACTGACAGCAAAAAAAAACAAAAAAACAAAACAAAACAAAAAAAGTTATTTCCAGGAATAAGGCGTAACTCTTGGATTGTTTCACAGAGAACATACTAAGGCAGTCAATCCAGTCTCTATGGGCGTATCATTGCTCAGTGTATGACTGAATAAAGCAGGGCCTCAGGGAGAACACCTACAGTTCATTCACACTTAATATCTATTAATGATAGACTGTTTATTTATGTGCCTGGAAGTGAAACAATCCCACATTAACCAAATTTTGCTGACAGAAATAAACTCCCTCTCTCTCTCTCTCTGCAGCCAGCAGAGTTGCATATTTTGAGTTTGCTCCATGTTGGTTTGTTGAAAAAATGTGATAGAAAAGTAGCAAACAACATCCTTCATTTTTCTTGAAGGTTATAGAAAACATGCAATTAAGCTGACATGAGTAAAACAGAAAGATAATCAAAAATATAAAGCCACTTTGGAAACCATAAGAATAATCTATGAAATTAAAAATATCCTGCCAGATCCTGATTGTTGAACCCAATCTTTATGAGCTTGAATGATTCTACAAGTATATGAGTATTCCAGATTAATGAATTATCTTCTCTTCTATTCCCGACATTTAGTCATTTTACAACCACAAACTTCAGTAAAAGTCATAAAGTAACAAAAAGTAGTTTCCTGGGTTTCACGTTGTATAAAAATCTCTTCAGATTGTCTTTTGATTGTGATGATAGTTGTGCAGCTCCAGGTGGCAGCATGCTGGAGTCGCTCGGTTATATTCTTTCTGATTTATTCACTAAAAAATATTTCAGTCTTCTTTTTTTCTATTAGAGGCATGTTTTTTTTTGATGATTATTAGATCTGATTTACATTCAGGCAGTTATGATGCGTAACTATAACACCAGCTGGAGCACATGATTAGCATCTCAAGGGTACAAAAAGTACTTGAACCCCAAATCCAAGAGGAGTTAAGAGGGAGGTTTTGTGACTGCAGAGCAGCCCCAAAAAAAAAAAAAGATAGAAAAGGGAAGTTCAAACCATCCCTTCCATCAATCACAATTGGCAAGGATCAAATCGCTGACTCTAACGTCTCTTAGATTAGCTTTCTAACCATGTGGCCAGACAGAGATTTAATGAGGAGCGGCAAGAGCAAAAGAGGCAGAGTAGCAGAACTTGCCAGCATCTACTGGTGTCTTCCAGGACACCATCGTCTCTGCTGCTCAAACATTGAGCTGGTATGTTATGACCAGTCACGAGACTGTCATGCAGAGACTGAGGCCTCTTCAGATTTCTTTCAAGGCTGACCGGAGATCCTTCTTACCCACAGCCTCACCATGTTATGTTGTGATCCAGCGTATATAGAGAGTGTTTCCACCTCCAGCTGGACTCTCTTTCACTGGGCAGGTGGGGTTAAACCCAAATGGATAATGATTTTCAATGATAGGCAGCTTTCGCAGTGCCTTATCACCCAGAGAATCAAGGCAATTGAAAGCAGCAGCATTAATAGACTGACTGTTGGAGCCTTTTCATACACTGAATTTGTTTTGTACACATCTCTCTTTCAAAATGAGATTAAAGCTGAGTGACAAAAAACATAAAAGTTTAGACTCTTTTAACTTGATTTTACTATCCTCTGTGATGCCGCTCCAGCCCTCTTAACGATTAAACAGCCACATCTAGGCACACCGGAAACATAAAAGCTGTGTTCATACATACCAGGACAGACAGAGATCTGCTGCAAATGATCCACCACAGAACTCACGATGGAGCATAAACAGGAATTTAACCAGTGCATCTTTATAGTCCAGCTTTTAAAACTTTATTTACCACTATCTTAAGCCTCTGTTCGGGAAGTTTACAGTCCGGACAGGACTTTACTCTTATCATTAGAACATTTCGAATCTCAATGTTTTTGCACTTTCAGCAGAGTCTCCTGCCCACGGTATCAATGATTAACTCTTTTGGGTTGGATTCTAAAAGGCAGGACATAAATAGAGTAACTGTCATCCTTCTGTGTTGTTCCTCATCTGTGCTGGAGACATGGCGGGTGGATTCTACATCAGCAAAACGGTGGCAGCAGTCTGTCTGGTTGGAGCTGCTGGAGCTTTAGCAGTCATCATTGGCCTCTCAGTGTTGTATGCTCAGGAGAAGTCGAAGAATGTTGAGTTACTTCCAACCACTGCTGGACCCAGTACAACCACACCATCTGGACCCAAAGAGCCCTGGGACTACTACAGACTTCCGAAAACCCTCTCTCCTGTCCGCTATAACATCACCTTGCGGCCGCGGCTGACGCCCAACACTGATGGTCTGTACGTCTTCACCGGACACTCCCAGGTTCTTTTCAGATGTGTGATCGAGACTGATCTCATCCTCATCCACGCCAACAAGCTGGACTTTACTAAGTTTGATGGATTTCTTGCCAAACTGTCCATGGATGGAGATACAGCACCCACCCTGAAAAAAACCTGGCTGGAGGCTCCCACCCAGTACCTGGTGATTCAGCTCAACGAGCCGCTGCAGCCCGGCAAATTTTACAAGCTCTACACAGAGTTTGTTGGAGAGTTGTCAGATGACTTGGGAGGCTTCTACAGGAGCGAATACTTTGAAGACAACGTGAAAAAGTAGGAGGTTTTATGATTTTCCTTTTACTTGGTCAGATTTAAGACTCAGTGCTTTAAAAGAGATTTTCGGACAAATGCATTTAAGCGTAGCATTATGTGTCACAACAGGTTTGATGCAACTGAAGTCATATTATTTTCTTTTAAGTCAATATGTTGACTGTGCTGGGATTTACAATGGTGGGTGTCGAATAGATACAAGTACGTCTTCATAAATTAGGGTATCCTTAAAAATGTTTATTTATGTACTATTTAGGCCTTTATTTCTATTAACGTGGATAGCTAACACAGCTAAGAGTTCAGCTTGTGACTGGTAAGGTGTTAAAGAAGTCAGATTGCTCCATTAGCAGCCTCCAGTTAGTCTACCCTGTTGGGTCTATCTATCGCTCATCTTCCTGTTGACAGTACTTCCTTCTGAGGTTTAGATGAAGCAAGTTGTCCAGTTAAACCAGGTATTAGTGCTTTAGGTAGTTTGGGCAGGTGCCAAGTCCAGCTGGAAAAGGGAAGCAGCATCTCCATGAAACTTGAAGCATAAGGATACCTGAGGTGGTCTAAAGCTGGCTGCAGCTTCAGTCCAGTCCTTGTAAATTTCCTCCAAATTTGGATTCAGCACTCTGTCAACAGCCTGTCTCTTTCCCATTTACCTTTTACGGCTTTCACTTCTTCTGGAGGGTGTCAGTGACTGTTGACCACGTAGCTGTCAGGTCAGCAGTCTTGTATTAGTCACTTCTGTATTAAACATCCTTCTCTTTTTGGTCTTACATAACATTCTATTTTTTTTACTGAGAAACTGGATATTGGAGTTTCTATTTGCTGTAAGCCATAATCATCAAAATGGGCAGAAATGAATACTTGAAATACTCTTTTTGTAAAATCTCTACCAGTCTCATTTTTTGAATAAAATGAATGAAAATATTCTATTACTGATAGTTTAGTTGATTGAGATGCATCTGTATGTGTTTAGTAAAAACACAGGATAAACCTAGCTTAGCTGAACACCTTCACAGCTCTTCATGGACCATGTAAATACAATATAGTCAATAGTTAAACAGAAGTTACATATTCACATATGGCCATTTACATTTCCTTTCAGGTATGGAAAGACTGTGTTCTGTGTCCAAAGATACAAAAATAAGTTTTTTTATTTAATCATTTATTTGTTTTGTATACCTGCTCAACCCTGGATGGAGGGCGTGGTACCTTTCTCCAACCAATAATTCGGTTGGAGAAATGGAGTGCATACTGGTCAGTGCTTCCGAAAAAATGGGATTTCTTGCTGGATGGCAACAGCTTGAGGTATCATGTATTCTGGAAAGTGAGATGAAGATCCTTTACATGTCATTGAAATTTGCGTGAAAACGTGCACCTTGCTTTTTCTTCTTGATAATTTAAAGTGGTCATTCCAAGACGAAAAATCAGTAATCTACACTGGATACAACATCAACTACCTGGGGCTTAAACGTCTTAGGAAACCCTTAATTTGATGCAGTGCGCGCACAGATTCCTCAACGTATAATACACATTTAACAATTTAATGATCTTCAGGAAATTCCAAACAATGGAATTATGTATAAAATCTGTTTTATACACACATTTTGTTCAGCTGTATGTTCGATTAATGACTGGGTTTCCTGCTTTATCAGAATTGTAGCAACAACTCAAATGCAGCCAACAGATGCCAGAAAAGCTTTCCCCTGCTTCGATGAGCCAGCAATGAAAGCTGTCTTCCACATGACCTTGATTCATCCTCAGGGGACTGTGGCTTTGTCTAACTCCATCAACTACGGTAAGTCTGTGCCCATTTTATCTGGAAATGACTGTCTTTGTACATGTCATTAAGATAAATTAACTTGCTCTCTTCCTTTTGGTTCATTGTAGACAGCGACTTGCTTAACAACTACACCAATGTACTAACAGTCGGTTCCTGTTGTTACATGTGGAAACACATGATTGTGAACCTGCTGTTGTTTTTGATCCTTCATAGATCCTGTCAACATCACTGTGAATGGAGAGAGCTTAATTGAGACCAGCTTCGAACCTACTGAGATCATGTCAACATACTTGTTGGCTTTCGTTGTATGTGATTTTGCATACATTGGGACGAATCCGGATGCAGGTGTCTTGGTAATTATAAAAAAAGAAAAGAAAAAAAAACAACACAGCCAGAATCGTAAACATAACTATTCTAATATAATTCCTTGATTTTATTTAATGGGTGAAACTTATATATATGTATTGAAATCTCAACAGGCTTTGGCTTGTTAACATTAATGTTAATGAAGCTTGGTAACTTTCCTTTTAAATTTGTACAATGAAACGGTCTCTTATGAGCTCTGAAGGCGGAAAATAATGAGAAAAACATAATTAAGCTGGTATGTAAGTGAATTATTGCTAAAACAACATGGATGTAAAGCAATAAACATCAGTTAAATATTACACTCAGATCTCCTTTGAACCCTGATCTTTAATAAAACAGATTGATGCAGGATCATAACAATAACCAGGGCAGGACACCATGAAATAACACATTAAAAGAATTTTAATGCAGAATTGTTTATGTTAGGGCACATTTATCAAGCAGACAGTCAATGACACCCTCCACAAGGAGCGCTGGATCCAAGCGGATCAGTGGAAACTTGATCAGATGAGTGAAGAAGGATAGAAAAAGGTGCACAGGCAACAGTGATAACTGCAGCCTTGAAGAAATTGTGAAGCAGAGCCAGTCGAAATATTTTGAGGGTGATTATGAAGGTGTGGACTGCAGCTGGAGGAGTCAAACTTTCAAGAACCATCAACACAAAGATGCCCATAACATAAACTATAAGTGCTGTATTCTTTGTTAATGTTATCCTTGAACACGCAAAACATTAGTAGAAGCAAAATGATTGAACTTAATGAAATACAACGAGGGATACAGTTGTGCTGCCCTCTGCTGGACTCAAACATCAGATCACATCTTCAGCGTTTTGTGATGGTGCTGAAGTTCTGTTTTCCACCTGTCTTAGATCAGGATCTGGGCTCGCAGGAAGGCCATTGAAGAAGGCCAGGGGAACTATGCACTGGCGAAGACTGGACCCATATTGGCATTTTTTGAGAACTACTACAACTCTTCCTACCCTCTCAAAAAGTCAGGTAGAGGTCCAAAGAAACTACTCAATCTGCTTGCATTACCTGATTATGTTCCTATGGCTCAGATGTTTGCGAGGAATAAAACATGACCTGCTCTGAATTCTGTTATTGCTTTTAGACCAGATTGCTCTTCCTGACTTTAGCGCTGGAGCGATGGAGAACTGGGGTTTGATCACATACAGAGAGACAGCTCTCCTGTACAATCCTGGAGTGTCGTCTAATGGAGACAAAGAGTGGGTGGCAACTGTCATCTCTCATGAGCTAGCTCATATGGTAATGTATTGCTTGCCCTTTGTAAGCGAAATATATTAAACTGTATATGTATTTATTGTAGATTTCTCCTCTCAGTGGTTTGGGAACTTGGTGACCATGAGGTGGTGGAACGACTTGTGGCTCAATGAAGGGTTCGCCACCTATGTGTCTTATCTAGGGGCTGATTACGCTGAGCCTGACTGGAATATGGTGAGCTTGGGTGTTTCGATGAGAAAACTTGAAGGTCTTGAAGGGAAGAAATCTGTCTTGACATCTATTTGTTTCCTTCACAGAAAGATTTAATTGTTCTTAATGAAATTGTCGGTGTGATGAGGGTGGATGCCTCAGCTTACTCCCACCCCCTCTCTTCCAAAGAGGAGGAAGTCCTGAAACCAGATCAGATTAATCAACTGTTTGACTCCATCACATACAGCAAGGTAAACGATATCATCTCTGATCCAAACAGACTCTATCGCAGTGTTAATGTCACTGCGTTTTATGAAGATACAATGAGGACTCCATCATCACGGCTCTCCAACTAAAATCTTTGTTTTTTCATTGCAGGGTGCAGCAGTCCTCAGAATGCTCTCAGACTTTATTACAGAAACGGTCTTTTCTAAAGGACTTCACGTGAGTAGCGGCTATAAGAGATAAAAGCATTAATAATTTCAATATTGTGTTAATAATAACAGAGATCTATCTGCAGACATATTTAGAGGAGTTTGCGTATAACACCACATCCTACAAAGACCTCTGGAAGCACCTGCAAATGGTAAGACATCAATATGTGTCTGCACAACTTTCTTGGAAATAAAGCTTTGACTTAAAAGTTTGGGAAATACTTAAGCAAATACAAAGCACATTTTGTAAACAACCAGTCAGAGCTAAAAAAAAAAATAAAAAAATAAAAGTGAAATATCATTTTCCACAAACCCCGTGTAACAGGAAATTGGAAAAGAATAAAAAGTGAAGGGGTTAAATCACCATGCCCCATGTAAAAAACTTGATAAGTTATCTTTTTTTAAAGGTTAAGAAGAAAAACATAATTTTCAGGCTTGAACAGCTGCTCTCAAACAAATTTCAACTCTTTTTTTTTCATTGAATGTTTCTTTTTATTAGGCAGTAGATAAAGCTGGTGTAGCATTGCCTCATTCTGTGGAGGTCATTATGAACCGATGGACCCTACAAATGGGCTTCCCAGTGGTCACCATCAACACCCAGACTGGAAAAATCACACAGGAACACTTTCTGCTGGATCCAGACTCTGTTGTGGACACACCTTCACAGTTCAAGTAGGATTCAGCGTCTTATGGAGGATTCACACATACCTAACAATGCGCTATGCAAAACTTAATTTGCTGTTTGTTTTCAATTGTGTGTGTGATTTTATGAAATTGGCTCCAGCTACGAATGGTTTGTCCCTGTTACCTGGATTAAGACTGGCGGTTCTGAACAGCAGTACTGGCTTCTTAACAAGGAAGGTAAGAATCATTTCAAGCCAACAAATATTATGAGCCACTCATAGAAAGATTACGGTGGTGATACCAATTGTTATTAAACTAATAATTATTGATAATATATATATATATTTTTTCATTTAGACACAAACACAGACCTGGTTCTTGGTGCCTCTGATTGGTTGGTGGCCAACGTAAACATGACTGGTTTCTATAGAGTCAACTACGACGAAACAAACTGGGAGCGTCTAATTGCCAGGCTGACCTTAAACCATCAAGTACAACTCGTGCAGTGCCGCTACTTTGTTTCTGTTATTAATGTCTGAATATGCTGCTCATGACAGTTTCTTTGTTTCTAGGAAATTCCTGTGATCAATAGGGCTCAGATTATTGATGATGCCTTTAATCTTGCAAAGTGAGATCACACTTTTGGAAAAATATTGGAGTTGAGTTTCTGTAAAGAAACAAACGGAAAAAAAAGAACAAGGAGTTTAATTTCTTTTTATTTTCAGGGCAAACATAATTGAGACAACTCTGGCTCTGAGGATGACTACATTCCTGAATAAAGAAGTTGAATATATGCCCTGGGAGACAGCCAGGCGTAACCTGAATTACTTCTTTCTTATGTTTGACCGCAGTGAGTTGTATGGACCCATGCAGGTTTGTTCAATATTGTGAAGTTAAAGATATTAGACAACATAGGTGGAAAATTAAATGTAAATGCCTCATATCATCACAGAACAAAAATAATTATGTCAAAATCTTTATGTTTTGTCTTTATGCCTCAGGCCTACATGAAAAAACAGGTCACCCCCTTGTTTCATTACTTCCGAGATCTCACTGTGAATTGGACAAAGATCCCAGAAAAGCACACAGATCAGTAAGGATGCTTTGTATTTATTTATTTATTTATTTATTTATTTATTTATTTATTTATTTATTTATTTATTTATTTATTTATTTATTTTACCATGAAGACCTTGCTCTTTTGTCACATACAGTGCACATACATTGCATGTCTTTACCACTCAACCCAGTGGTGAAGACATGCAAAAAGCTTAATATAAATGTATCTTTAATTTATGTTACAAATCTCACACTGAAATAATTAAAGACGTCCAAATTTTAATTGGAATTTCAGGCAGAAAATGAATCCCATGTTAGGAAATGTTTTTTTTTTTTCTTTTTTTAATAGATCAAGTTATTGGAACCCTTGAAAGAGTCAGATAAAATAAATGTAGCGAAAGTATTTTTGGTATCTGTCCTTGACATTTTAGGTTGATCACAGTCTCTGGGAATATTCAGTTCACAATGCATGATCTCTAGTGTTCTTGAGGTGAAAAGTATCAAAGGGACACATTTACACAGTTACTTTTCAAATTGGGAATGACAAGAGAACATGTCATTTAAGTAAGACATATGTATTCCCATTCACCTTGTCTGTATCTACAGTGTGCTTTCATGAACACATAACGTTCTTCAAACATTATATGTTCTACTTCAAAGAACAGTGTATGTTCTTCAAGATATACAAGTGAGACACACTCACTGTTATACCCTCCCTCCCATTCTGCTCCCAGGAAAAAGAAAAAAGTGAGACGAATAAGGAGGAAGTCAGTAAGATGAATACCAGACGTTTCCCAACTTGCACTTTTTAATTTTAATTGCATACATGGTATCGCTCATCCTAAGCTTACCCCCTTAGTGACTTCATCTCAGTACCGCGTGTTCTCTTAATTGCTCTTCATACCTAAGATTTTCTCTGAATCAAAAATGTATCCATTATGTCACAGCTGTGACACCTCTGTTACTGAAATGTGTCAGTATGTTTGTGTTAGTGTGTGTCAGTATGTGAAATGTGTTATGTTTGAAGAGACATAAAGTAATTGTCCAACAGCTAAAGAAACCGTGGGAATTTACTGCATACACACTCAATGAGTTTTATTGGAAAATTACAAATTATAGTTTTCACTGTGCTGCTTAGGTTTAGGTTTGGCCTCCTCCTTGCTTTTTTTGGACTCTGATGAACTCTCCTAAATCCAGAGTAACAGGATGTTCCAGCCGAGCCAATTATCCATATTTAACTGCTGTTGCTTCTGCGGGTTCTTGTGTTGCAACCTTTGTCTGTGTCTTCTCTCTCTCTGTGTCTCTTTTGATTGCGGAGCATTAGAGCCTTGCACAGCACTGATGCCACTTGTTCTCATCATTTCCACATGCAGTTTTTGTTTGTTACTTTTTTGCTCTGGATGAAAAAAAACTTAGATTATTTTTCATTTGGGTCATTCCAGACATGTTTTTACTGGGGCACAGTGTATGTGTCTGGCGAGTAATTGATACCTATCATCTGGTAAATAAAATATGAAATGTTTCCACGTACCCATTGCAATGTGCTCTTGTACCACTGGTTGGGAATCACTGCATTAAACCATTATAATGTCTCTCGCTGTGCTTCTCTGTCCAGATACAATCAGATCAATGCGATCTCCCTGGCCTGCAGCTCAGGAGTGGAAAGCTGCAGAGAACTTACATCTGGCTGGTTTAAAGAGTGGATGAACAACCCTGCTGTCAACAGGTAAAGTCTTTTCAGAAAGTGGAGCTCTTGTAATATTTCCAGCATGTTTCTTCCAATTCATTGAGTTCTTGGTATTTCCCTTTGGACCTTCCTTATTCATAAGCATTTTTACAGAATTGTTTTGGTTTGTTTTTACTAAACCTTACAGCATCGATGCCAACCTGAAGTCCACAGTGTACTGCAATGCGATTGCAGCTGGAGGAAAAGCACAATGGGACTTTGCATGGGAGATGTACAAGAACGCCACGATTGCCTCAGAGGCAGAAAAACTTATGTATGCTCTGTCCTGCACCCAAGAGCCCTGGCTGTTAAACAGGTTTGTCTCTCTCTCTCTCTCTCTCTCTCTCTCTCTCTCTCTCTCTCTCTCTCTCTCACACACGCACACACATACACACACACATGGTCAATGCTTATTGTGTGATTTTGAAATGGTTTGAGAGACTTCTGTGTTTTTAGTTTAACAACAAAACTATTTTGTTCAGGTATCTACAGTACTGCCTGGATCCAGAGAAGATCCGGAAGCAGGATGTATCTAATACTTTTATTTACATTGGACGTAACCCAGTCGGCCAACCTCTGGCTTGGGATTTTATTAGAGCCAACTGGCTCTACATATTAAACGAGTGAGTTTTCGCAGTATTCAAAGGTTTTGCAAGTTGCTTGTGTTTCCTAACCATCTCGTTTGGATGGGGTTAGTCATGTGCTGTTGCAGCAAGTAAATCAGCAAAATACATAATAATAAAAACATCTGTATTAAAGTGTCTCTCAAAGCAGCTTTGTTTGCTAACTTGAATGTTAGTCCAAGAAATGACACCATTCTGTTTGTTTTTTCTCTTTCTTCAGATATGGCAGAGGAACAATTTCCATTGTAAGTATTATTAATGGACTGACGGAACGATTCTCTACTGAGTATGAATACAAACAGGTACGGATTTAATAGTTAAACTCTTAAATTCCTTATAATTGAATTAAAGGTGGTGACGCTGTTTCTTAAAAAAAAAAAAAAATCCTTTTTTGATGGTACGTGGAAATGACTTTGGTTTTCCCACCCTCTCTTCTATAGTTGGAGCTTTTCAAAAAAGAGGTTGAAGCAATTCTTGGCTCAGCAGCTGGGATATTTGATCCAGTGCTGGAGAGAACCAAGGCCAACATGAACTGGGTGGCCCTAAACAAGAAACCACTGTCTGATTGGTTGAGCAGTCAAACATCTGGAATTTAGTGTACAGAGGATAAATCATGCAACAGATTTTTCTACAAATCATTTTTTTTTTTTTTTGCCTGAAAGCAGACATGTATTTAAACTTTGTGGATATTTTTTGATCAAATATTTTTAATGAAGCGTTTTGGTAAAAAAAATATTTTATGAAATAAATTTATTTGATTATATGTGTGCTTTTTATCAGGGGAAGGGGGGGAGAGCCTGATCTAGTTAAGATTTTTTATGTGTCCTTGACAACATTTGTTTTTTTTTTCTAATATCTTACCTGAAGCATATTTCACCTCATTACATGTTTATGCTGAAATTTACAATTAAATGTTCTGAAACAGATTCTATTTATGCATCATCATATTATTTTTCTTTGGAATGAAATGCGTGGTTGAAAGTTTCACAACACTTTCAGAAATTAAACCCCAGCCAAATGTCTCCCTCTGTTCTGACATATTTGCACACACTGACATATAATGTTGCTTCTAATATTAAAAATACTAAAATTAATAGGAATAAAAAAATAAATAAAACAGAAGATTTAAGAAAAAAAAAAAACTTTTAGAAAATACCACTAGGAATACGTTAGAAAAATAAAAATCTGTTCCACATAACTCCATAGCTCAGATGGGAGAATTTTTAGGCAAGATAATTATTTACTCTGGAATAGAAACAAAAAAATCTGGCCTTTATCAACAATTTTTAAAAAAGAAAGTCTTACACAATGCCTTGCATTGGATGGCTCTATAAAACGAATATCGTCCTAAACACACCGTCCTCCATGATGACACAGGTTGTGGAACGCTTCAGTAAAGAGAGAGGCAAAATTGTCAGACTTCACAGGAACACGGAAAGAGATAAAAATAGGAAAATCCTTGTATAAGGACTGAAAAAGGCTTGAAACTGGGAGGTTTAATAAAACAGTGATCCTAAACTTAGAGTTGCATTTTAATAGTTTGGATCACAATATTTAAATGTGTTTGTCAAAGGTCAAATGATCCCTATGTAATACTTTTTTTTTTTTTTTTTTTGCAAAGAAGAATTAGCAAACATTTAAGTTTTATGTTTGCAAAGCAGAGGACTGTTTGCTAACTACAACTCAGGAATGCATGTCTACAGAAGTAAGTCGTGATTTAACACCTTAGCTGAGGTGTGAGGAAAGCATTGAGTGTCGGCATTTGTGCAACTCTGTCCTATGACAAACTATATACCTCTGTTTACATTTGGTGAAGTGTAACATCTGCCAAGTGAATATAATGACTGTAGTACATTAAAAGATTCATTTTAAATATTTAAAAGCAGGATGAGAAACATGGCGGTTAACTGGCTCTAGATCAGCTGTCACCTCTCTCAGTGGGACTCTTTCCTGAAAAGCTTTAGAGGGGAAGTGTTACCTGTTTAACACATCCTACAGACAGCTGCTACGTTTGTGTGAATCAGAGGCCAAACACTGAGTGTGAGTGCTGCGTGTGTAGCTGAACATTTGGGCTTGGAGTTATTAAAGCAACAAGGGATTTTATGATAAATAATGTTTATTTTCTTCACAGCGTGGACACTTAATAAATACACACGTCTATGTACAAAAAAAGTAGGTAAACCACAGAAAATGATTTGTTCAAAATTAGAAGCTTGAGAAGTTCAGTCCATATATTAGTTTACTTTTTGCAACAAATCTCATTGAGGATAACATTTCAATTCTGTCCACTGAATGCCAAAGCTTTTGATTGTTCATGGTGATTCCAGGACTCCTCGCTGGCGAAGTAACCTGCACTTAAATCCTGAAAACAAACGACAAAGAAATATATTTTAACTGTAGATAAATAGAGAGGTGTCTTTATTTATATAAAAAGAAACTGTAACTGTACCTGATATGAATGGTGCAGAGAGGACAGCTGCTCTGTACTCATGGCTGTTGGTTGATCCAGGAACTGGCTGAGTGTTTGGGCCGGCTCCACAAAGCCTGAGGATCTCCTCTGCTCCAGCACCCCCTGGCGGAGCCCCAGCTGCTCTGACAGATAAGAAATGTATCGAATGGCGAGGCGCAGCGTCTCGATCTTGGTCAGCTGTCCAGCTGGTGCCATGGAGGGAGGAAGGTATGTCCTGAGGTGATGCAAAGCTTTGGTCAGGTCCCTCATCCTCAGCTTCTCCCTCTCGCTTGCAGTCTGCCGCTTTTTACTTGGATACTTGGACCTGGACTTCTTCATGGGGACGGTAGCTGAAGAGGAAGGCCTGGAGCTGAGGACAGTCTCCGACTGTTGGGATGGTTGAGGCTCCAACGTGCTGCTGAAGAGGAAACAGTTCAAGGCATGTTGCTCCTTTCCTAAGGCCTGAAGGGAGACCGGGGAAAAGCAAAACGTTTCCACAGAGGAGGTAGGAGAGAGGCTGCTGCCTGCACTGACATAGCCAGGATCTGAGGATGGATCACAAGCTGGAGACTTTTCTAGAAGAAGATCATAATCAAAGAACAAGGAGTTCTCCTGAAGATGGAGAGCAGAACAGTAGGACATTTCCATAGTCGCTGCTGAAGTATCACTGGTCCCGTTGTGGGTTGACGCTGCGGTGCTGGCCTGTCAGTGGGTTTCTGCTGAAGGATGCTCTGGATATTGAGAAGAGAGAAGGAGGCTGCTCAATATATGTGGTGAGGGGTGCGAAGCGTCACCTTTTGGGAGCCACTGAGGAGCTCTGGGAGCAGGGATGACACCTTGGCCAGGGGGTCCCATGGGAAACTGGCATGCTCCAGAACAAGGTGTGATGTGGCTCTTCTAGTGTGAGCATCATGCTTCTGCAGGTGTTTGAAAATAACACTATCATGTAGGGGCCACATGCCTGGCCTTAAGCCTGAGATTAACGTTAGAACTTCAGCGATTCATTGAAGCCCTGGAATGATTTGCAACAAAAAAAGTCAAAATACTGTTTTTTTAAAGTTCCTCTGAATCATTGTATGCTGAGTAAATGCTTGTCTGAATGAAATATTAAGCTCATAGGCCCATTATCTGTCGCGTATAAATGTTGTTAAGGAAAAACTTGCTTTATATTTCTTAATGAATGCTTTGGTCTTGGTCTTTCCTGTCATTTTACTCCTTTTAGAGCGGGTCAGAATAAGTGTGCCATGTCAGCTGGGAGGTGTGAATGATTAGCACCTTTAGCTATTTGGCCAGCAGCTGGCCTCAGGCCTCAGAACCTGGATGGAAAAGATGCAACAAGTCTTCAGACAAATATTCAATTTAAAGCCTCAATATGCAACACCATGAAAACACTGGCTAATCTCAGGTATTTAATTGCTGTTTAATTGCCGGTAAATATCCAAAAAGTATGAAATGCCAGTCTCCAAAAGAAAGTATCGACCCCAGTTGCAGTTCATACTTTGTAAATCTTTCTCTAACTCTTGAACTGAACCTGAACCCCTGATATGCTTTAACAACCAGTTTTTCCAGCAAGTCATATATTGAGTGCCTTTGTTATCCAAACCCAAAAATAACCCCTAAGATAAGGTTTATGTAGCTTCAGTGTAATTTTATTTGATTTTTGTAGAAGCAAAGTTTTGGATTTTCGTTATTTCTGTGCCATTGTCATCCAAATCAACAGAAATTAACCCTTGCAATAAATCAGTCTGTCTCTAACATCTTAATGATATATGAAACATTGAAACAAAACTGTAAAGCAGTCACTGTGAACTTAGCATCATGAACTTAAAGAGTCTGCAAACTCCAGTTCAAATCGTAATTTTCTGCAACATATAAAATAAACACAAAGCTTTCAAAAACTTTAGCCACATTTAACGTGACATGCATCCCGAACAGATCAAGAGAAAAACAATCATTTTAATTGGAATGAACAAATGCTGCAGTACAGATGGGAAAAGATTAGAGATGAGCTTTACAAATGCTCGACAAACACTTTGTGTCCAGCGATGTCCTTTTGACGGGATTTGTTTTCACTTCTTCTGTGGAGCTGAGTCCCAAGTTGCTTTCCCACAAACTGCTGTGTCACATTTGTCTCCTGGTAAGAGGTGTGAACTGGTGCTGCACCGCTTTACACCGCCACACTGATACAAGAAAAACAGACATCTAAATGCAAATGAACATTTAAAGGAAAAAGAGGACTCGATAAAATGTAGCGTTCGGGAATCTTGGGTAGTTTGTCTTATTAAACATTGAATTAAATGTCAGGTTTAACCTCTTGTAGGACTTCAAAGCAGGGGTAAGTTATGAAACAATATCAGAAGCATCTCCTGAAACTGTTCAATCCTTGATTCAAAAATAAAAAAAAAATTAATGGCAATACTACACATCACACATTTCAGATTTTTGTGGCTGTGCAATAAAATGTGAAACATTTCAGTGGGTGTAAAAACAATCAGAAGGGCATTCTTTGTAGATTAATTATTTACTCTGTTAGTCATAGGTTATCTGAAAAAAAATCAACAACCTGAAACTAAAAAAAAAACAACAAAAAAAACATCAGCAATAAACCTGCATTCAATTTCAGAATAATTACAACTATCTTTCTTTTTGTCTTCTCAGGTGGAGGATTCCAAGTATCCTAATCTACATTATTCCTGACATTGTTTACTTTGAGCAGAGAGTTTATTAGCTTTGCTGTGATGACAGACTTAAGTGTGTATGTTAGTCTTTTGGTGGGTTGCTCGCAAGTCAAATGAGCCGTGTGTACGTGGCAAATCAAACACCGGGTCTAATTCTCCCGGGCTGATATGCAGATCCACTCTCTTGATGAATATTAAAGACCCCTCTGGTTTTAGCGAGCGATCGAGGCGGGAGGTCAGAGAAGGGAGAGAGAATTTGAGTCTAGACTTAGCGGAGCCAAGGATCTCGCTGTTTGCAATGCCTCATTAACAAAGCAACCCTAAATAAACTAGATAAACACTAACAGCAATCACTCTGTTCTGCAAATTTCTTTACATTCCCTTTAGAAGGAGGACTTCCAGAATCTAAATAGAAACACTAACATAATTATGCATTTCTGAATCAGGCAGATCGCATTTCTGGAAAAATCCTTCAAAGGTAGCAAGAGCAAGAATCACTACACACAGAGTAATATATGGCTTACGTATTTATTTCTTTTAGTTTTGGTGTTTCTGAGCCAAACCTAATTAAAATCTAAAAATCTACCTAAGAAATTCAAATATTTTAGTAATATACCCATGATAAAATAGGATTTTAGTGATAGATCATGTCATGGCGAACACCGTCTTTGGTCATGTAGCAGAGTGTAGCACAGCACTGAAAAGATTTGAAGTACTTTTAAGTTATTGGCCAGAGTAATTAGTTGCAAGCCACTTAATGTTGACCTATAAATCCTTCAGGAGTAAGAAAGAATCATAAACTTTAGGGGTGAACCCTTGTTGAGTCTAAAAAAAGACAACTTAACCTGAAATTAGCTCAGTAATCGCCTTTATCCACAAAGATGCAGTTTTCTTTTTGTGGTAGTTCTTCTGAGTTTGTTATTTTTGTGCTTGGTGTGACAGGAGGAAATGAAAGGGTTTAAGAATGTAATTCTCAAATTTGCTTCATTCAAATCTTTGTGTTGGTGAAACGTGCACAAGACAAAATATAGAAAGTTCTGTACTTTCCTTAACACATGTAAGGAAAGCACAGTTTAGCAGCACAAAGGAAACATTTATTTTAATATTTCGTTGCTGTGGCATGCAGTAAATTGACTTAAAACAGGAGTTTAGTGCATCATTTTACAATTACTTATGACCTTAAACTGCCATCTAGTGGCCAAATGGGGAAGAAATATTCAAGCATCTTGACATGAGGTTTCCCCAAAGACGGGAAAGTCACAACTTTCATATGTTGTGACTTTCACAATTCTGTCCCTCACAGATGACTGACAAGACAATATCAGTCATCTACTCAGGAGCTGAGTCCCAAGATAGAAAAATAAATCAAAGAAGTCCTCTTTGCAGTTGGACTCAAATTATGTAAGAGAAACAAAAGGAAAATCAACATTTTAGGATATGAGCTAAACACTTTGGGTATCAGAAAGCTAACACCGCTGAACTGAATGCTATCCGAATAGTGAAACATGGTGAAGGCTGCATAATGATATGGTGATGTTTTTTTTTTTTTTTTTTTCAGTCGTGATTGTGAAGCAGGTTAAAGTTGATAGGAAGATAGATGGAGCAAAATAAAATGATATTCTGAAAGAAAACCAGTTGAAGCCTGCAGAAGTTTTTAATTTTATAGGTAGCCACAGTTGAACTTTGAAATGTGCCTTTGTTTCACCTGAATTAAATAATTATATTATCAGCAGGAACATGATCGCATGCTGAGGATGAGTCATTTGTGGGCCGCTGGAAGGTAAACCAACTCAAACGCAGGTCCTCAGTGCACATTAGATCCAACTAGAGGCCGCCTTGCTGCGACTGGAACTCAGCCGACGACCTTCTGTGTCGAAGATGGAGAGAACATGAGCCAGATGGACAGATAAGTGAGGTGGATAGTGTTTTTTTACTGGAGTAGAAGAGTTTGAGACCTCTGGATTACAACAAAACATAATTCTACAATGGCCCATTCAAAGTTCAGACCTAAATAGAATTGAAAATCTGTTGCAAGACTTGAAGACTGACAAGTAGATAATCTAACCAACCTGATCCTGTCTCAGCAACTAACACGCCAGTTTTTCTTTTTGTTTAATAATCAAATGCTGCATACTAACTTATGGAGGGTTCTGCTGTCAATTATGCTGAATTTTACTCTAGTCCAACATTATTTTTGTGTTATTTTATGCCTGGGTATCCGAAGGAGCCATTTGTAGACCCTTAATTGTTTTTTCTATAGCTCCCAGCTGTAATTCATTAATGGGACCAATTTGGCCATTAATGAATTACAGCTCTGTCAAAGGCGTTGACAGAGATTGTGATTATTTTATTTTTACTTAGGACAAAATAATAAGAAAAACAAAAGTTAGAATAACACAAAATATTTGTCTTAAATAACCAACCCTGTTGAATTTTCTGAGAATAAAAGTAAATATGACTTCATGACCTAGTGACTTTTACTCTAAAGCAGACCTTAGAGTAAAGATCTACGTTAGATTTGGACCCATATCTGAATTTAATTTTAAACTTGTCCAAATACAGCAGGTGTTTTCAGAGAAAAATGATCCAAATCCTGTTCATGTTTCTTTTGTATTTTTAGGTAGATTTTCATTTCTTTTTTCTTTGTAAATTTCTGTTTCATAGTCCTAAAGAAATTGCAAACTGGCTATCTTTAATAATGCTAACAGATTCAACATTGATGCAGACATTACTGATAATTTTGGCCCATGTGACAAAAGTTTGGACAACCCTGAGTTACGTGGTTTTTATCTTAGTTTAGTGATGCCAAGTGTTCTCTTCGGTCCAACCTGTATACCAGAAACTGAGAAAGATGACAATGTATTTCAACTGTTTATTATAAATAGAGACATAGGGAAATATAAAAAAGATAGCTGTTAGACATATATTTACAAGGCATATTTACTAGGAACAAATAAATAAAATGTAGAAAAGCATATATTCAAAATAAGTTACTGGATTCACAATGATGCAATGAAATCACCGAAGGGGTTTGGGTCTGTGGTCTCTGAGAGGTCAGCCCCAGTAGTCTCTTGGAACAAGTGGGATGCAGAAGTCTTTACCACACATCTGTTTGAAAAAAGGACAAGGAGTGAATGTGTTAGGATGAACAAAACATGTTGTTGCGTTAAACCAAACGGTGATGTGAATGAGTAAATGTTGACAAACCTGACAAGAGGGCTGGGATGCTGGAGGTGACCGCAGAGCTGCATCCACGCTCACGTCTCCCTGAGGGCCTTCAGCGTACTGCGTTCTCAGCTGATTCACTCCAAAACTACAGTGCCCAGGATGCAGTGGTCTGTTCTGGCTGTGACACAGGCCTTGGAACGGGTTCTGGCTCTGCACGTGTTCTCCTCCTGCGGAGGAGTTTTGAAAGTAGCTAATGAGGTCAGGAGAGGACGTGCCGCTGGCTGAGGTGTCCACTTGTTCCCTCCTCTGAAATAGCACCTCCTCACTCAGGCCCAGCTGTGCTGACAGGTGGGAGATGTAGCGGATGGTGAGACGGAGCGTCTCTATCTTCGTCAGGGTCTGCCCGACAGGTGCGACTGAAGGCGGGAGGTAGGACCTGAGGTGGTGGAGAGCTTTGGTCAGATCCCTCATCCTCAGCTTCTCCTTCTCACTGGCGCTCTCCCTCTGCTTGCTGCGAATCCGGGTGCTCCGACCCGTCTTCCGGCCTCGTCCAGGTGGGGAGCAAGGTGAGGACTTGAGGCACTTGGCTGCTTTGGGAGTGGACTGTGGAGGCTGCTGGTAGTTAGGGGAGAAGCTGGAGTCCATGGACAGGACAGGTGAGAGGGTCTCTGGTGACGAAATGCTGGAAAGGTCCGTGTCAGAGGACCACTGGTACTGCAGGTTGTAGCCGAGCAGAGGGACAGAGGAGGTATCCATGTTGTTAAAGTGGTCTGACTGGAAGAACTGGGAAGCTGTGAGTGCTGCTCCGCTCTCCTCCACTGGTTTATAAGTCCGGGCCAGGCCGCAGAGGTGTGAAGTGACACCTCTGCAGATTCTGACTACTTGCTGTCTAAGGCAGAGGCCACTGCCCCTGAGCACACACACACACACACACACACGCTCCAGCAGTGGGACCCTCTCACAGTGCCTCACCTTCAGCTCCAGTCTCTCTCTCTCTCTGCTCTGGGAAAGTCCAGCTCCAGGAGTGGAAGTGTGAATTTTGACTCCTGCTGAAAACAACAAACATTTTTACTTTTTCTGGGTTTTGTCTCACCAGGGCACCCGATGCATTCTGCACATGTTCAGCGGCTTGTTTGTGAATCATCTTCTACTTTGTTCATTTTGGAACAGTTGGAAATGTACTCAGGAAAAAACATTTTTCCTGAGTACATTGCCTTGCAAACGTATTGATATGTCTTACACTTTTCACGTTTTGTGCTTTTATGTTTTCCAGTTTCAGCATTTAATAGAGCACAAAACACAAATGTGACGTGGGGAAAAAAAGGATGAATAGTTTTCAGTTCTTTTTACAAATCTGTGGTATTTATTCATATTCACCCATTTATTTTGTACAGTTGTCTTTCAGTGCAGCTCTGCAAGTTTTTGATGCGTGATGCTGCCAGTGTTGCACATCTAGAAACTGTGATTCATCTTCATTGCGAAACAGCTCATGACAAGTCAGACTGCATGAAAAATACTTATGAAAAGTTTTTAAGTTTTTCCACAAATCTTTATATCAACTTCAATCTGGACTTCAATTGTAACACAGATGGATTTGCAAGCAATTCTCTAAAAAAAAAAAGTTAACAAAACAAAACTGGTGATCTGAGCTTGTAGCATCACCAAGATCCCATTTGGCTTCAGATGTTGCTATGTTTCCATGCAAAGAAGTTAGTTTCTGTGTTCCCAGCATGAGCTAGAGAGCAAATGAACTGGACACAACATGGAGCTACATAAACATTTTCATTTTACAAAAGGTTTGAGGCAGAATCTGCAGAAAACAGATGCTGCACTTGTTAAAAGCATCCAGAAGGTAAAACATTTAAGCTAAAGTGATGATGCACATGCAGATTTATTCACCTCCGGCTGATTAAAGTTAAACAGATTTCGAGCACATTTGCTTTAATTCTTTTCTTGCGATCGCCACTTGCGGCTACAACAGAGACCATACTACGTTAACGAATAAAGTAAAGCACATATTCCTCACAAGCTGTAAATTTAAATCTGCCAGCATGCTGGGGAGATAAAAGATCAACATTTCCCTGCCTTTGACCTCCCAAATTTGACCCTGACACCATCTCCTTAATCTGATGATCTTCTGCAATTTACATCCCACCATTTTTTTTTTTTTTTACCAGCAGTAGCAACAGCATCAGCATCATCATCGTCAGTGCAACACTGATATGAGCTCAAAAATGAAGGTGAACCTCACACTTCTGACCTCCTGTTTTGTCCTTCTTGGCTTTAAATGGATGCAATAAATGATTGAAAATGTAAATACAAATATGATGAGGGTTAATGAAGCCTAAAATGATCTAATTAAGGCAAAGGTGTGAAGGTTTCACACTGCTGAGAACTGATGAGTCTGGAGGCGTCACTTCACACCTTAGTGGTGAGAAGCAGGAGCTCTGGACTGGTAACCCTGCTCTGTCCCCGTCTTCCCACTCATCTTGACTGAGATAAGCTCCTAGTAGGATTACATTTTTATAAATAGAAGACACACCAGTAGTAACTTTAACTTTGAATCGTTGCAACAGTTGTGTTGAAGCACAGTTGAAGCAAAACAAAAGCTCTGAAATGAGATGTCTGTCTGTAAAGGGAGTGAAAAGGTTTTTTTTTTTTTTTTTTTTCAAAAGAAATGCCCATATTTTTAGGTGGTATGCAAATTTCTAGAAAAACTGAATATTTTAATGAATCTCCACTTCTGAAAACACAGTCCTTTCATTTGATGTTTAACCTTTTTAAAATAAATCTGCCAAGATTAACTCTTTTTGGCAATTTACTGAGAACTGAAGTCCTGGTTTGGATTTATGCACATGCCTGGATATCAGTTTCTTTGGCTGCCCCAGAGGTCTCAAAATACAAGAATTAAAATGAATAGTGGGAGGTTTCATACTACCATACCATGTACCATAACA